GTGCTCGCTCTCTCTCTCCTGCTAGCCCTGAGTAATCCCTGCTGCCCTGCTGGGCGGCTAGAGGAGCAAACCAGAGAGGGGAGCCGTCTCGGACCTAGCAATAGAATTAAGGTAATTGAGTCTTGTGTTTTTATTTCGATCTCGTCTAACTAACTTTATGCCTAGAACCTCATTAATGAAACCACTGCGCAGGCCGCGTGGTAGAGAGACCCCTTGTGGGACCCTCCTCTCTTTACCACAGCAGGCACCTTGTCTGGCAGAAACAGGGGCAGGCATCACAGTAGCCACTATCTCCTAGGTATAATGGTGGTATCTGGAAACCATGGACCAACAACTGGGTTACCTATGTGGCCACAGTGCTGTCTGAGTTGACAGTGGCCGCCAAGACAAACACCATCATCCAAAATAGACAGAAAACCTGCTCCTGAAAATCCTTGGGGGACAGTCCCCTGTGGTGGGGAAACCAGGTACCCTTGTAAACTCAATCAATCTGTGTCCTCTGGCTGCTCAAGCCACATGGTCGGGGTTGCCATCCCTCACCCCTTGAAGATAATGAAGCCTCACCCAGGCAGGCTATCCAGATAGGACTAAGTTACATTCTCTGCAGTGAAATTATGGAACTGAGGACATGCAGAACAACAGCCAAAGTGGCTCACTCTATACCCTACTCTGCCTTTGGAGTGGCCCTCACCAAGGGCTGGACAATCCCCGGAGGCTCTGTAGGTAGCCGGCAGCCTTGCAAACCCTTGCAGGTCAAAGCTAGCAGCACAGGCTATATCTTTCCAGCTTACACTAACCCAGGATCCCCATATTACCTTGTACCATGGCAAGAAATCTTAACATGAGTGGCTTTGGGGTATCTACCTGGCTTGAAGCAGGTTTGGTGCATAGGTACAAGGGCAAGAAGGTGGTACTGAGAAACTTTCCACAGTTTTAGAAACAATTGGGAGAGACAACACAGGTCTCTAAACACAGGCTAAAGCTGGGTCCCAAACAGGCACTCCTAGGACTTGGTACTCAGAAAAAATTTCAAAATCAGACACTGACCTGAAGAGGTAGGTGAAGTCATCCCTGCATAGCTGTTGGAAGGAGTTAACATGTGGTAATATTCCTATCAAGTGCTCAGCATAAGGGGGTCATCACCAATGAGGTCACCAATAGCTGCATCTCCAGACTCCACTAGATGCTGAGAGGAGACAGCCTAGCCTATGTGCATCCCAATAGGCTGTGTGCTGAAGGGGAGCCAGTACTACCAGTTGGTGCCTCACTGATGAAGCCCAAGGTGAGTACACCTTCCTTCTCCCTAGCAGTGTATTCTGCTGTAGCTTCCCAGGCAAGGTCTGCAGAACAGCTTCTGGGAATAAGAAGTGCTTAGTTCTACCCAATGCTTCCCACAGTGATTTTCTAGAGCAGGGTGCTATTGGGAAAAAAACTACTTGCACATAGAGGCAACAGACCATTCCTGCAGGCAGGCCAAGGCTAGGGGTGGGCAACTGGCCTCAAATGGGCCCACCACCAGAGCCAAATGGGCCCTATAGGCTCAGGGCCAGGTTACCACCAGGGATAGGCTATGCCAGGGAGTCACAGCATAGTCATTACTTACTTTGTTAAGGTACTCTTTCATCACCTGAATGAAGTAAGGCATAGCAAAATCCATGAGGTTGTGTCTCCAGGCCAGCTCGAGCACCACATCTGGGTGAAGCAGATCATAGCAGGTGAAGAGAGAGGCTGCAAAACACTCCCACTTTCCTTCCTCCAGGAACCACTGTAGCAACTTCTCAGCTAGCTCAGGATCACGTGACTCTGAGGCATGCTGCATGGCATCCTGCAGCCAACAACAACAACAACAAAAAAAAAACCACATAGAGGCATTGAGCCTTTAGTCAACTGGGGTGGCAGATGCTGCTCTACAAGGTTCTTCTTTACAGTATAGAATGAGTGTGTACACAACTGAGATGTTCCCTGTGCCTGTTGCCCTTTGATAAGATGAAGGTGCTACCACAAGGGACTCTAGAGAGGACCAAATGTGGTTTTCTCAAACCTTGCTGAATTGCCTGGAGGTGGCACACACAAGTAGGGCACCCTGGGAAACAGAGGTTCCACATCAGGGCCAAAGACATAGGTATATAGAGGCAGTGTGCAGGGCTTCTCTAAGGGACCTGCAAGGGGATGTAGTTGCTTAGACCTATAGCCATGCCTCCATCTGGAGCTCCAGCTAATGTGGAACAGCTATAAGGGAATAGCTAGTGTTCAAGAAATAGCAATCTGGTTGGGCACAGACACATATACCTGTAATCCCATATCATGAAACAAGTTTGAGGCCAGTCTGCACAATTTAGTGAGACCTTTTCTCAAAATAAAAAGGGCTGGGGATGTAGTTCAGCCTGAGTGTCCCTGGGTTCAATCCCCAGTACCACACACACACATAGACACAAAGTGATCTGCTTTTTCCCTCAAAACCCCTAACTTCCATTTCTGTATTTGCAAATGTCTTTGTTTAAAACATTATGTACAAAAGGCCACACACATTATGACAAATTAGTAGGAAACTAGTGCTCTGGTTGCTTCTAGCTGTATGAGCTAGCTTTCCTGACTCCAGCCCAGCCCTTGTGACAGGTGTCACTACTCAGAAATGAAGTCACTTGCCCATGGTCACTCAACCTAATTTGTGGACTGTGCAATTTGATGACAATTTGTAGAGAGGATGGGAAGCAGAGTTGCTGTCCCTGCTTCATGTACCCACTATGGGTTCTAATATAAGCCTCCAAGTTACCCTAGAAGACTCCTGAATATGTTCTGTGAGCCAGCTCTGGGTAGTAGTCCTCTTTCCCTTCCTCCCAAACAAATTTTCTCCCACCTGCTTGCTGCTCGGTTCAGAGTCCTGCTACAGCCTCCACACTGTTACTAAAAGATCAGGACTTTTTTAAAAAACTCTTTTTAAAAAAAGTTGGACACAATATCTTTATTTATTTTTATGTGGTGCTGAGGATCGAACCCACTGCCTCATGTGTGCAAGGCAAGTGCTCTGCCACTGAGCTACACAGCCCCACCCCAGGACTTTTTTTTTTTTTTTTTTCTGTCCACAGTTAGCCAAGACTCGAAGTGAAAGCTCCAGGAAGCCTTCAGGCACATGTGTGAGGCCATCTGATGCCAACTTAGTCATAGCCATCAGTCTCCCTGAATGTTTCCTTCTGACTGGTCACTCTCAGGTGGCCTGTCTTCAACCCACACCTAAAGGCACCTTTCTGTTTTCCCTGTTCTATAGGCCTTAGGCATTTTCAGACCCCTTGAACTCTAGACTGAGTTCCTCTAGGTGGCTTCTTAGAGGACTTAAAGGTCCAACAAAGCTGTCAGGCAGTACCCTGCTCCCACTGCCTGAAACCAGCTGGGGGCTGAGAATACACCTTCCTCTTCTCATTGCTGCTGTCTATTTCTCCTTCCAGACTGCTGCTGGTGCTTGACTGACCTTGCCTGACCCATGACTACAACTTCACTGCTGCTGACTCCAGTTCCTAACTCATAAGTGTGTGGAGGGACCCTGTTCCTCCTGCCCTCAGCCCTTATCTGCTTCTCATCTGACCCATCTAACACTGCACATTTCACAGTGGCCAAGCTGACTATACCCCAATCCTCAAGGGTGCCACTGTTGATCATATGATTATCTAACTCTACCTCTGCCATTTGGAAATACTTTTTCCAGTTGCTCCCTGACTGGGTATACTGTGATATGGATACTCTCTTCCAGGTGACTTTGGTTCTGCTCAAGAGAAGACTCTTCTAGCACAGCAGTGTTGACACTTGCAGGGGGGTCACTTGTGTACTGGGGGCTGTTGAATATGATTTTTGGTCTCTATCTCCTATTAAAGCACTGTGTCCCCAGTTGTGACAAACAAATGCCTCTTGGGTAATGTACCAACAAAAAATGTGAAAAAAAACAAAAACAAACAAACAAAAACAAATGCTCCTTGGAGAACAGAATCACAGGTCTTGGGAAGCATGCTTTCCACTTTCTACCTAATGTTTTGTCCTTGGATTGTCTTTTTGGTTCATGTGGCTCTGAGAAGTGGATTGCTAGAAAAGAAGGACCTCTGGCAGTACTTATACCACTGCTCACTCATCACTGTCTGGGAGGCAAGGAGGCTGCACATTTATGTGTGGCAGGCACCCATGGGGACAGAACAGAGTAGGTGAGACAGGCTGGCCAGGATGTGTCTGAGTTCTGTTGTTGCTTTCCAGTAGCTAGCTCCTGGGTGCCTTCTGTTTGGTTGTAGAGTTTCTGCAGGGGACCTATCAGCTCTCAGAAAGGATCTTGAGCACTAAGGGCTAGATGTCATAGCAAGTGGTTCTTCTTTTCTTTCTTTTTTTTTTTTTGGTACTAGGGCTTGGACTCAAGGGCACTTGACCACTGAGCCTCAACCCCATCCCTATTTTATATTTTATTTAGAGACAGGGTCCATTGAGTTGCTTTTGCTGAGGCAGTTTTTGAACTTGTGATCCTCCAGCCTCCTGAGCTGCTGGGATTAGAGGCGTGTGCCACCATGTCCTGCTAAGTGCTCACTGTTTTGTTTCTTTTTTGTGGTGCTGGGGATCAAACCCACAGTCTCATGCGCACTAAGACAAGTGCTTCTTCACCAAAGAAAAAATGCAAATGGTCAACAAATACATAAAAAGATGTCCAACATCTCCAGTAATTAGAGAAATGCAAATTAAAACTAGGCTGAGATTTCATTTCAGAATGGTAACAATCAGAATGGCAACAATAAATAAACAACAATATTGCAAATTGGTGCAATCACTCTGGAAAGCAGTATGGAGATTCTTCAGAAAACTTGGAATAGAATCTCCATTTGACCCAGTTATCTCATTCCTTGGTATATACCCAAAGGACTTAAGTTCAGCATATAGTGACACAGCCACATCAACGGTTTATAGCAGCTCAATTCATAATAGCTAAGCTACAGAACCAACCTAGGTACACTTCAACAGATTAATGTATGAAGAATATTATTCAGCCATAAAAATAATGACTTTATAACTTTTGCTGGTAAATGGATGGATATGGAAGACTATCATGCTAAGTGAAATAAGCCAATTCCAAAAAAACAAAGGTCGAATGTTCTCTCTGATATGTGGATGCTAACAGAAAATGGGTTGGGGGAGAGAACAGAAGTTCAGTGGATTAGACAAAGGGAACAAAGGAAAGTTAGGGGGATAGAAATAGGAAAGACAATAGAATAAATCAGACATAATATCCCTATATTCATATATGAATACACCACAATGGAACTCCACATCATGTACAATCACAAGAATGGGACCCAAATTAGAATAAATTATACGCCATGAATTCATGTCAGGATATACTCTACTGTCCTGTATATCTAAAAACAACAAATAAAATTTAAAAAAGAAAGTAAGTAAGGTCAGATTGTAAAATGAACATGAAACCAGTGAGAGGTGAGATAGAGGAAGCACCAGGGATAAAATAACTAGTAATGGAGGGCCTTAAAAGTCAAGGTAGTTTTAAATTTATCTTTATAGTAGTGGAAAGCATTTGAAAGAAAATTATTATATTTTAGAAAGATCATTCTGACAGCAAGAAAAATGTTTTCTCAGAATATAAACTATGATCAATTGTAAAAGAACTATGGTGAGTCAAAATAGTTTTTTTTTTTTTTTTTTTAGTTGTTGATGGACCATTATCTTATTTATTTACTTACTTGTGGTGCTGAGAATTGAACCCAGTGCCTCATAACTGCTAGGCAAGCATTCTACCACTGAGCCACTTTTTTTTTTTTTTTTTTTAGTTGTTGATGGACCATTATCTTATTTATTTACTTACTTGTGGTGCTGAGAATTGAACCCAGTGCCTCATAACTGCTAGGCAAGCATTCTACCACTGAGCCACAACCCCAGCCCCAGTAGCTGGGTTTTTAAAAAATTAGACATGAAACAGAACAGAGTATATTTTACAAAAGAGCATAAGAAATCTTGTTTTGCTGGGCATGGTGGTATACACTACTTGCAATCCTAGCAGTTTGGGAGGATAAGGCAAGAGGATTGAAAGTTCAAATCGAGCCTCAGCAACTTAGCAAGGCCCTAAGCACTTAGTGAGACCCTGTCTCAAAATAAAAAATAAAAAGACTGGGGGTGTGGTTCGGTGTTTAAGCATTATGGAAAGCAGTATGGAGATCCCGCTGCCCCCCCCCAAAAAAAAAAAAAAAACAAAAAAACAAAAACAAAAACAAAAAAACTAGTGCTCTACCTCTGAGTTATATCCCTAGCCCAGGGCTAAATATCATGGAAACAATCTAAAACACTGGAGATGACAACTTAGGATGAAGCTCAACATGATCCTGACATCAAGGATCACATGCCTTAATGGAGTCAGAGCTCAGGTGCCATGAAAACAAATGCCTGGGCAAGTGGTGGATACTGTCTGAGTACACTGGGAAAATGCTAAGGAGCACCCAAGGACAACTCTGAGGAGTAAGATCCTTAGTCAAGCTTACCACCTGCTGGGTTGCTCCCAGGGTTTCCTGGCACACAGAACCCTTGGAAATAAGTTCATCTACATAACACATCACCCTAAAGGCCTGCTTGTGCAACTCCACTTTGCCCTGCTGGGGAGATATTCAGGCCAACCAGAGGATGACAATGCCTTCAGGGTGTTGGCAATCCCTCGAGGTAGTCCAGCCTGATTAGCAGGTGCCTGGACTTAGAGTTTGAGAGAGGTTCTGAACCACCTCTCATTGGAAAAAACAAATGTTTTGAATTTAATTTTAATTTAGGTTTAATTTCTCAAATTTTGATAAGTAGAGAGCAACAACAACAACAAAAAGAATCCTACCATACTGTGTTTGGGCTGCTGGAAATGAATCAACTCCATAAGACTCTGCAAGAACCTTTAATCCAAATAATTTCTAAGAGGTTCTAGATTCTTCTTAATTCTTATCCCATGCTCTAAAACTGAGTTCCTTCACCCCCGACAAGGATCTCCTGGTGAAGTTCAGGCCCTGGTCTCTGGGAGAGGTCTGAAGTGTGAACCCTTTAATCCCCAATCCATAAAGCATCAGTGAGGTGGCCAGGGCAAATGAGGGAGGGAATAGTTGTGTGAGGTGACCAACCTTATAGAGATGGTTCTTCTTGCAGAGTTCCACACTCTGGGCCCACCGATTGTTGCCCTTGTAAAGATAGGCTGCAATGCGCCTAAATTCGATCATCTGGTGCTTCTCTAGCCGTTGAGCCAGGCTGATGTTGTCAAAGTTGTCATAGGCATCGATAGATGCTCTCAAGCCCTAGAAAGACAGCTTTTTCATGAGAGAGGAGACACTGTGACACAGGCTACCTGCACAGTGAGCAGGCACCAGGAATTACTTTGTGGTGGTTGCTGCTACCATAGCCTGAGAAAGGTCCCTGCCCATATATCCACTGGTGCCTGATGGGGCCCCCACACCCTCAACCTGCTATGAGAACAGACTGGCAGGTGCAGGGAGAAGCCCACTGGCTCCTGAGCTGCTTCTTCCATACCAACCTGATAATCTTCCTCTTCAGTCAGCAGATGGTTGAGTGCTTCATTCACATTTTTGTTGTTTTGGTTCTGAACTGAACACAGGTAAGGCTTCACTAGGGGCAACTGGCCTGCCTGATAAGTTGGAGAAAATGGTTGAGACACTCAGCCGTACTCATCACAGAGACCTTGTAAGGGGTTGCCTGGGATATACTGAGGAAGTGTAAGTGGGTGTGGGCTCTGCAGAGCCAGAGAGCACGTTCTTAACAACTAGGATCAACAGGCCCATACATACACAAAGAGATCATTGGGTTACTCAGTCAATACTATTTCATCTGTGGACACAGGTTTGGAATGCAAGCCTGTGTCTGAAACCTAAAGCAGTTTGATAAATGGAATTTTGAAACTGGTTGGGGATCAATTTCAAAACTTATTTACAAAGGTCATACCCTTTAGACAGCCTAGGCAGAGCTAGCTCAATATAATTATTTAGCTAGCTCTGAATATTTATTTCTCATAATTTGTATAAGTGGCATATTCCCTATTCTATTTCTCTCAAATTACTAGAGAAATTATTGTTGTTATTGTTATTTCAATACTGGGGATTGAACCCAGGGTCTCACATGTGCTAGACAGATGCTCTACCACTAAGCTACATCCCCAGCACTCTTCTCTGGACAATGGGATTTAGCCAACTCACCTTTGAAAAGAAACTGACTGTCCGGGTATGGTCCAGCCGGGGTGAGAGCACCAACAGCAGGTCATTAATGAGCAGAGGCTTATAGTCCAAATAGAACTGTAGGGCTTTATAATAGAGCTCAATGTTGGCAACCTAGGGAGGGGGACAGCCCAAGGTCATTCCCTGCCATGCCTCCCAATATCCTGGTCCACTGTGCCGCCTTCTGTTTTTTAATCAAATGCCACTTGACTATTGAGGCCTGTCATGACACCCCTAGGACCGAACTGCCTCAGATCTACCAACTCCCATCTCTGCAGTACTATTCTATTTAGTACTTGCCATTTGATACTCTGCATTCCTGTTTCCTGCCTTACTCAAGCACCTATGCAATTACCTGACACATGTCTGGTACTCAACCAATAGTTGTTAAGTGCATGAAAGAAGTATAATAAGATGAAATAAACTCAGACATAAAAAACAAGCAACAAGGGCTGGGGATGTGGCTGAAGTGGTAGTGCATTTGCCTGGCATGCGTGCATCCCGGGTTCGATCCTCAGCACCACATATAAACAAAGATGTTGTGTCCGCTGAAAACTTAAAAATAAATATTAACATTCTCTCTCTCTCTAAAAAAAAACAACAAACAAGCAACAAAATTCTTTTATTCAATCAGATGCCCTCAGCTCTTCCTGAGCTATAAGTAAGCCAGTAGCATGTCTTATTACATCTCCAGTACTTTTGAGCTGGATGGTGTGTCACTCAGACCTTGGGTGAGCCCTGGGAAGACCCTGCACCACCAGGAAGGCTTGTGTCTTTCCAGACTTCAAGGTCTGGCCAGGCTTCTGTGTCTCTTGGCTCTTCCCCACTGGTCACTTGCTACTCTCCTGCTGGCTGGCATCATTCAATGACTTGAGAACTATAGCAGTGATGTCCATGGCCTGCATATAGCTCTACTACTCAGAAAGCAAGGTAATTCTTATGCTCCACAAGGGTATGAGCCAAGCCAGCAATATGAACATATCTGTGTGAGTGAAAAGGGATCTGAGGGTATACATGGTGTGTGACCAGAGCTATAGCTACACTGGGGGCAGGGTGAACACTATGGAAGCCTCTAGAAATGCAGGGTTTAAGTGACTGAGCAGCTATGTGGGGCCTAGAGGGGAAGCCCCTTTATGTTTACTGACAACTTTAGCCTCTCTTTCTTTTCCTCCTCTGACCTTTCCCTCTTATGTTAGAGCACTTGCTGTCACCAGGCTCCAATGTTTCTAATACCAGCCTCATAGATGCAGAGCAGTTACCAAGCATTGTTGCAAAGCTTTTCCTGTGTACTGGCTGGCCCCCAACAGCTCTGGAACTTGTCATCCTTCCAGGCTGGCCCTTTCACTCAGAAGCACAGAGGCCAGATCAGAGGGGTCTCATCTAGTCATCTAATAAGCAGAAGGAGTGCCAGAGATGTCACAAATCCTGGACATCATCTCTACTGTGCCTCAGATCCCCAGTGGGATGGGGCACTATTTCTGTTTTGTAGAAAAGAAAACAAAGGCTTAGAAATTTTGTCATGAATTCCAGGGTGATTGGCTGATGTGCTCTGGGGTCTTAAAATGACAGTATTCATATTACTTGTAAGAAGCATCTAATGTATGCAGCATCTACTGTATACTGACCCCTTTATGGGGAGAAATCACTATGTTCATTTCATCAATGGGATAATTCAGGTCCACAACAATGATATTTTTTTTGGGGGGGGGGCGTACCAGGGATTGAACTCAGGGGTACTCGACCACTGAGCCACATTCCCAGTCCTATTTTATATTTTATTTAGAAACAGGGTGTCATGAGTTGCTAAGCACCTCGCCATTGCTGAGGCTGGCTTTGAACTTGTGATCTTCCTGTCTCTGCTTCCCAAAGCCACTGGGATTACAGGTTTGTGCCCTGTACCCAGCTGCTGCTGCTGCTGCTGCTGCTGCTGCTGCTTCTTCTTCTTCTTCTTCTTCTTCTTCTTCTTCTTCTTCTTCTTCTTCTTCTTCTTCTTCTTGCTGCTGCTGCTGCTGCTGCTGCTTCTTCTTCTTCTTCTTCTTCTTCTTCTTCTTGCTGCTGCTGCTGCTGCTTCTTCTTCTTCTTCGTCGCCGTCTTCTTCTTCTTCTTCTTCTTGCTGCTTCTTCTTCTTCTTTAGTTGTAGATCAACACAATACATTTACTTATTTATTTTTTATGTGGTGCTGAGGCTCGAAACCAGTGCCTCACATGTGCCAGGCAAGTGCTCTACCACTGAGCTACAACCACAGCCCCAACATTTCTTTTTTCTTTTCTTTTTTTAAAAAATTAAAAAAATATATATATAATATTTTAGTTGTCAAAGGATCTTTTGTTTTATTAATTTATTTATATACGGCACTGAGGATTGAACCAAGGGCCTCTTTCAAGCCAGACAAGCACTCTACCACTGAACCACAACCCCCCATTTCATTTTCTTTAAAAAAATTTTTTTAGTTGTAGATGAACATAATACCTTTATTTATTTTTATGTGGTGCTAAGCATTGAACCCAGTGCCTCACACATGCTAGGCAAGTGCTCTACCACTGAGCTATAACAATAATGATATTTCTGTTTCACAGTTAAGTTAGTGAATGGTGGAAACAGAATGCCAACCCTATATATGTCAACAAGTTCCCTACTTGGCCTGCCACTGCCTAGCCAGGTGCCACACAGACTCAACAGCATACCCTCTTCATATGCTCAGAATGAAGACTAAATGTTACCCTTTTATTGGGTCCCTACACAGTATATGTCCTCTTCCTCTAACTTGGGATGATGTCTCTGTATCTCCTGTCCTTTACATATGAGCTGATGTGACATGTCTCTTATACATCAGAGTATGGCAGAAGCTTTTGTGTATCATCACACAAAGAAAAGCCTTGAGGGCTGGGGATGTGGCTCAAGCAGTAGCGCGCTCACCTGGCATGCGTGCAGCCCGGGTTCGATCCTCAGCACCACATACCAACAAAGATGTTGTGTCCACCGAGAACTAAGAAATAAATATTAAAAAATTCTCTCTCTCTCTCTCTCTCCTCTCTCACTCTCTCTTTAAAAAAAAGAAAAAAGAAAAGCCTTGACTGTCAGCCCTACAGGTGGCAGATGAGAGAGATTGCTTTCCTGCTTAATAGGCCTCATCTGTTCTACACTGTTATGTACACTAAGACACAGAAAGGACTGCCGCTTCAAGTCGTTTTTAAAATGCACCCTGGTATCTAAGAAGTTAATCTTTGTATAAGTACAAAGAATTGATTAGGTGTGGATTTTCCAGCATGTTGACATATCTGCCTGGGATGGACCATAGCAATGGGTGACCTGCTTGTCCTCTACTAGAAACCTGCAGAATGTACTCAGGGTGAGATACCCTACCAGAGGTCGCCAACTTCATATGCTACCCTACCCTACATACAAGATAACATGGATATCCTCCTCCACCAAGAACCTAACATGTGGCTTGGTGTTTGACCTTGTTGATGATTCTTCCTTTAGAGAGTTCCCAGGAGGCACAAAGACCTCACTTGGCAGCCATCTTGCCACCCATGCCCACCACAGATAGCTGCCTATTGAAAAGAAGGTGCATAAGAGAGGCAATAGCTGTGAGGGGCTGCTGTGCCATCCTGCTCCTTAATCCAAGAATGGCAAGACTAAGATGAAGTTAGGATGCTTTCTTTTGCTGACAGATAGTAGAGGGGAGAGGGTAGTGAGCCAATTATTTACTCCAAAACACTGGGGCAAAATGGAGATGCTCAGTGTAAAAGGCCTGGGGACTTGCTGGATATGGTGGTATGTGCCTGTAATCCCAGCTACTTGGGAGGCTGAGACAGGAGAATTGAAAGTTCAAGGCCATCCTGGATAATTGAGTAAGACCCCGCCTCAAGTTAAGAAAGAAAAGAAAAAAGTTTTGGGGGTTTCATGGGCTCAGTAGTAAAAGATGTGAGTGAGGCTCTGGATTCTATCCCCACTAAAATACTGTGCATGCACACACACGACTGATGATGGTCAATTTCATCCCTTTTAACCCCTTCTCCTAACTTGTGGGCAGAGCCAAGCAGAGAAAGAGAGGTCCTGGGGTTAGATCTACTCAGAAACCAGAAATGTGTAATAATAGCTTGTTTGATGCTAACACCCAAACACGATAACTCCTGACAGCTGTGGTGGCTGGTAAGAGAAGTTCTGAGACCTTGTTTAGCTTAATGAGGTTGTAGGACCACCCTGGGATGGTCCCTCCACTAAGGGCATTTCCTGTGCCTCTAACAGGGCTGGCAGAAAAAAAACATTAAAAAAAAAAATAGAAAATGGAGGCTGACAAGGTGTGAAGCAGAGCCCCGAGTTGACAGAGCAGAAAAACGAGTAGATTAAGGTCTGCATACTGACTTGACCCTGTCTACAGCCCAGCTGGGGGCCCTAGCCTGTAATCTGTCCTTTCTAAGCATCAGTTCSCTTCATGTAGATGGAATTACCACCATTCACCCAGATGATGGTGCAATGCACATGTAACAAACACACATAGGTGGGGTGGGCTGGGGGGCATACTCTGGTGTCCACATACCCTCTCCCCACCAGAACAGGGCCTGGCAGAGGCAAGTAGTTGCCAGAGCTCTGTAACCCACTTACCTTGGCAATGAAGTCCTTGAACTGACCTTCTTTCCAAGATTCAATGGGGTGACTCATCATGGTGAGAACAGCATTGTCATATTCCTCATACTTGTCATAGAGGAACACCAGCTCTGCCCAGAGGTGTGCCTGCTCTGCGGCCTTCAGCACCTGAATGGAGAGGGCATGGCAGGGATCAATTTGAACTACTCAAAGATGTGACCAGAACTATGGGAAGGACACAGGTACCTTTGGGATGTTGACACGGGACCAGAAGAGCTCCAGGTGCTCTGGCATCTTCTGAGGCTTGAATTTGGAGTACAAAATGGCCAGCTCAGTGAACATGCCCATGTGGGCCCTCTCCAGGCCCAGGGCTGCTTCTAGTAGGGACATGAGCTCCTCAAAGTATCCTCGATCCTGGCAGATCAATAGCCACACATGGGTCAGAGGTATTACACACCTGCCTGCAGACACCCTCCATCCACAGTCCATACCAAAGTGTGGTCCATGCCAAATGTGATAACTGTGTGATCTCACTGAGGTACTAGTACAAACTACATCATTTTACTTAGCAACTGTCTGGGTCATGTAACAATTACCAATCTTTAGATGCAGACCAGCTCACTATAATTCTCAAGTTTAAGTTCAAATTAGGGTTAATGAAAAGAATTATGAAAAATAAACAGAAATGGGGATAACAGGATCTGAGAATGATTCTTTGTAATCTCTCTACACAATGTACTTTTTTTTGTGTGTGTGTGTGTGTGTGTGTGTGTTTGAGACAATGTCTCACTAAGTTGCCCAGCTTGCCTTCAAATTTGTGATCCTCCTGCCTCAGCCTTCCAAGTAGCTGGGTGGGATTACAGGTGTAATCCAGCACGTGTACTCCTGACTACAACAAGTCAACTCCACTCTCCATTCAGAAGAGCAACCCACTGTTCTCTCAGTCATGTGACTGTCTTTAATTATGATGGCTATCCCTTTGCATTCAGCCCCAACTCCCTCTGCCATCCTCCCAGACAAGACCATCTATCAGTCTGGAGCATCTGGAGTACTGGAGAAACACCTCTTCATCCAGACAACACATGTTGTCTCCCTGTACATCAATAACCACAGACCTGGAAAGGATTCATACTTGAGGCAACTCATACCTCTCCTCCACCCTAGGACACCCTCCATAACCACTCTCAAAATATCCTTCCTTGATAGTGGCACCCATAGTTATACTCGATAGGCACCCTGCCTGTATCTCATCTAGCATCCACCAACTGCTACAGGCCCTACCGTTTGCACATCAAGGCCACTGCTCCAGCAACTTTCTCCTTTCTCTTATGCATTAACTCTCCTTTACACAACTGTCCTCCAGCAAACATCCTGCTAATTGTCCTGTCCTAAAACATTCGTATTTTGAAACTTTGTCCCCTGCCAAATACCACCTCGCTTTCTACTCTCTTGCAGCAAAATCTATTCAAAAGACTTCTTCCTGTCTCTCCTGGCTCTTTCTAGCATCTCTAGTCAGGTCTTATCTTGTTCCTAGGATTCAAGGTGACCAGTGACCTCCCAGCTCAGCTTCCTAGTCTGTCTGTTCTCCTTGAGCTGGCCAGAGGCCCCTCCAGGCTACTTTTTACTCAGTAAGTGGGGAATGAGGCTCAAGTCCCAGGGAAGTTGTAATTGCTTGAACAAAGTCTGCCTTCACTATAACCACACCTGGTGTGACCGGACATCTCTAGGAACCCCACCAGTGGACCCAACTCAACAAGAGGATGGCACCTACTAACCACTCGACAGCAGAGTTTATCTGCAATGTGAACACTGACTTGCCTGCCAAGGGTCACAAGGGTCACCTCTGTCTTGTGGTCCCCTTSTTGAATGTACCTGTCCCTCGGGCATCAGATAATCTCAACCCCTATGGGTTGCACACTTAGTGGCTGTGCCACAACCTGCCCAGTACTCCATGCCCAGTTTTCCATGGGGCATTCCATTGTGCAAGCCACTGTCTGGGCTTTAAAAAACCCCAGGACACAAAAGAAGAGAAAGGACATAAGAAATTTAGTGGGACATCAACCAGCGTGAGGCCCAGGTGGGCTAACGAGCCACTCTGCACTTCATATACCAAAAATGGAACTGCACATTATTTAGAGTGTTAGGTATCACTCATCATCAGCATCCCTTGCAGGGATACTCTGGCTAGAGTTGACTCATCTATGCTGCCTTACCTGGTAATAGTATATTAACTCCTCTAGCTCATCTGCATGAATGATGATGTGAAGGCTACACAGCTGTGCAAGGCGGAACTCCTGCCCATCCACACAGGCAAAGCATACCTAGGGGAAGGTCAGCGTGAGCATTTCCAAGACAAGACCTGGCACTACAACAGTTGCATGCAACTTGAAATGCAGAAATACTAGTGAAGGGTCTTTTTTAAGCAAATGGAAGATTCTGAACAATATTTCTGTAAAATGACCTGAATGAGACTGGGAGGAAAAAAAATTACATCAACAATCTGTAGGCCAAGGGGTGTTCTGGACTATGGAAACAGAAGAGCTCATGGCATTACTGCCCAAGTCCTGAGATGTAGAGATTTGTTTAGGTGACAGTTATGCTGGAATTTCAGGTATGTACAGCTCAAGAATAATTATTATCTGAGTGCTATCTGTAGGGAGTTGCTTGCTATAATAATTTAACTATAAAACTGTTCTATGCACTGTACTGTATGTATACTTTAGGATAATAAGAATTAAGTCAAGGATGCCCTTGTGCAGAGGGGCTCTTGAACTGTGCTGCTTCTTTTTATTATTGTAGTTGTGTATGAACAGAATGGCTTTGTTTATTTTTATGCTGTGCTAAGGATCAAAAGCAGTGCCTCACATGTGCCACGCAAATCCTCTGCTACTGAGTTACAGCCCCAGCCTGAGCTCTGTTTCTTTAGAGGACTGACTGAATAACTCTGTACTAAAACTAGAAATAGGCTTGCTATGGTTTCCCTACTTCCCTTATCTTCTGAAGACAGCACATGTTCTCATGGTAGATAAAGAAGAACATGCAAATGTAATAATCATAGAACCCAATTGTTAACTTGAAATAATCTTTGGCCCATTATTTTCTAGTGTGATATATACACTTAGTACCCTACTAAATCTCTTATGCACCCAATGGAATTACATTGTACACTCTGCTCAACAACACATTTCTCATGTTATTGGAAACATCTTTTCCCATGACTGGGGTTTGAACTCAGGGAAATGCTACCATTGAGCTTCACCCCCAGTCATTTATTTTATTTTATTTTGAGACAGAGTCTTACTAAGCTTCCAAGGCTGACCTCAAACTTGCAAACTTCCTACCTTGGCTTCCAGAGTAGCTTGGATTACAGGCATGTACCACCACATTTAGTTCTGCTTATTCATTTTGAATAGCAAAATAGAGTCACAACATATATACTACTTAACCAAGGCCTTGATATTGGACATTGAGGTTGATTTTAATCTTTTATTAAGCAATGCTTCAGAGATTAACTGAAGTTTATCTCTTTCACATCTCTTTACAAAGTTTTGTCTAATTAAAGATGATTCTGATATTAACAGCATCTCAACACAACTTGCCCTACCAATTTGCCAAGAAAGACTAAGAATGTCACTACTAATGTGGTACCAAGAATTCAAAAAGTGTCATAATATACTCATAACACTGAAATGTCATACTATTAAGATGCTTCTGGGGACTGATTGGTCTAAGATGGAGTTCTTCAGGGACTTTTGCTTCCCACCATAAATGCTAGCTTATGAATTTCTCTGAGCTGTCCCAGAGGACTGAAATTCTCTTTTGAACAGGAGGCAGTACCCAAACTCATCCTACTTGGTAGAACAGTGTGGAGTATAACAGGAAGGACAAGGAGAGAATGCTTGTCAGACTAACATTCTTCTGGAGACTTCCAACAGCTTACCTCTTTCCATGTCTCAGTGCTGTTGGCCTTGTGGCTGCTGTCCACTGCTGCCTGATACTCACCTAGGTGGACCAAAGTGGAAGCCAGACGGGCAAAGTTAGAAATATTGTTATATAGCAGTTTGGCAGCCTCATACATCCCTTCCTCATAACAGCGGTCTCCAACCTGCAGATGATTGGGAACGTTACTAAGATGTTCTTATATGGAAAGATTTTCCCAGTTCCCTTACTCTCCCTGCCCCCATATTAGAAATTGAACCCAGGGCTTTGTGCATATTAAGCTATATCCTCAGACCCCCAGAATTAGTTTTTAAGTTCCTACATAAGGCAGAGTTATTTTTCTGTTTATTTCAGAGGTAAGTATCTTTCTTATCACCCAGAGCACCCAAAAGGTAAAAAAAAAAAAATCCTCCTAGTCCCTAGAAACCCTCCCTTTTCTCATGGGGCAGCCTCTGCCTGCGAGTTCCTATGTTACCATGTGTTCCAGCACCTCTCAGGCCCTGGATGTTACCTCCTACACCTGTACCCCACTGGCCTGGACTGAGGTATATTCCTTGCTGCTCCAGGCTCTTCCCTTCCTTGTTACTAAAAACTGCTGAGAAACTTGTGTCAGAATCACCCACTAGTCCTCATTCCTGCTGCCATTTATATATCCTCTTTGTTCCTTAATAAATTCTTTGACTTCCTCTGCGCTGAGGACCTTGTCTTCCTCATGATAGCATCCAGTCACTTCCATGGCCATTCCCTAAACCTTATACAGTCACCCTGTGAACTCCTGTCACAGGTTCACACACTGCCCAGAACTGACTCCTGTCCAGCACACTGTCCCAAGCACTTCAGCTTCACCAGTCCAGTGACTCCACTAACTTCCCACTGTCCCTTCTGCCCTCCTTGACTGTGCCACCTTATGCTGGCAGCTTGTAGTCAAGTTTGTGGTTCTTGGCATTCACCCTCAACATTCTTAGTTGTTTTCCATTCTGTGTAGAGCCAACTTTTTTCACATTCTACACTTGGGAATACCGAGCTACACAGGGAGAGCTGAAGCTCAAAGTGTTGATGGGTCTCCCTTGCTCCCTTCCTTCCTTCCTTTATTTATTTATTAATTCATTTTTGTAGTACTGGAAATTGAACCCAGAGGTGCTCTACCATTAAGCTATATCCCCAGTCCTTTTTATTTCTGAGATAGGGACTAAGTTGCTGAGGCTGACCTTAAACTCACAATTCTGATTATAGGCAAGTGCTATGGTGCCCAGCCTACAGGTCTCTTTGAATTCATGACCATGAAACTCAGACAAATTCATAATACTATAACTCTCCTTCCTTCCATGTCTTTTCTCTTGGTCAATCACTTCATATCTTCTCTTCTCAAACCTCCACAGTTCCTCAATGGAGCCAGTTCCTGGCTTCCTATTTTCTGAAAAAACAGAAATCATCAGAAGAGCCCTGCTGCAGTACCATGCCTATGGCTATCCACCTCACATGCCACCACAACCTCATCTGCCATCACAACTGATGTACTTGACTCCTGACCTCTTCTGCTCCTCATCAGGGTCCCAAGGTCCCAGAAACCCGCATCAGTGTCAACTTCTATAAAAAACAACTCCTGTGAGTTAAAGGAACCACCGTTCCTTCCCCTAACTTGAAAGAAAACAAATCCTACTCATTTGGCCTTACCTTATTGGATGGCTGCCATTGTTTCTAACCTTCAGAACAACATTTTTCAGGAGAGCTGTCTACATGTCTAATCCCCTCAGTCTCTTGTCCCTGACTCTGTGACAGGGACATTGATCCCCCAGAAAATGGTCCTGTTCCTCTGGCCACTTTTCATTCTACTGGACTTCTAATGAATCTAACTCTTCCAGCCAGCTATACAGATCCATGTGGCATCTAGTAGAGATCAGATTATTCAAACGGGAGCCCTCACTTTCCCGAGGCAGTCTTCATACTGCTTGCCTCAGAAAGCACAAGCCCTTATGCTACCAAAACTCGGACTCATCCTTGCTTTATTCTTCTCACACCAAGTTGTTGGCAAATCCTGTCAACTCTTCCTCTGAGACATATCCAGAAGTGAAATATGCTTTGCCACTCACTTTGACCACATTCTGGGTGCTGTCACCATCAACTCCTGTTAGCATTCTATCTAGAGCAGATCGTGTGCCTCCTTTGCTTGAAATCTGTCACTCTCACCCAGAGGAAAGCCAGAGACCCAACTTGCAGAGGCCAAAAAAATGCTTCCCTACTGTGTCTGCTGTTTTGGCTCTAAGGCTCCAGTCACCCTGACCATCTTCATACTGCTACTGCACATACCCAAACACTCCATGAGAGATCCCTGAACTTACCCTCCTCTATGCTCTAACCCCCCTTTCTCACCACCACAAAGGGATGATGACTCAGCCCCTACCAAGGGGATCTAACACTAGAATACCCATCCAGCTGCCCCACCTCATTTTTCCCTTTTATACTTACCATTTAATATATAAAAATGTATTTTTAATACATTTATTTATTTATTTATTTTTATGTGGTGCTGAGGATGGAACCCAGGGCCTCACATGTGCGAGCACTCTACCACTGAGCCACAACTCCAGCCCTATAATAATGTCTTAATGGGAGCAGAAATTTGATTATTATTTTCATTGTTTCATTTACAGCTCTGTGCCCTGTCAATAACAGTATGTTGAATAAATATTTTCCTTTGTGCTTTCTTCTACTGCATACATGCTTAAAAACTCCCTTTTAATGCAAAGATTCAAATAAATATTTTAAAAATTTTTATCAAGGAACATACTTTTCCTTTTCAATATTTCATATGGATTGTTATTTTGGATATAGAATTATATGATGAACTTCAAATCCCTTTCAAAACATTAACCTAATTTTCAACAACTAGTTAGAATTTATTTTGAAATTTAAAGTCTACTTTTGTGTTATTTCAATGAACTATGTACAATCTTTCAAGAAAAGGACTATACCCAAAGGACCTAAAAATAGCGTATTACAGGGACACAGCCACATCAACGTTTATAGCAGCACAATTCACAATAGCTAAACTGTGGAGCCAACCTAGATGTCCTTCACTGGATGAATGGATAAAAAAATGTGGCATTTATACACAATGGAATATTACTCAGCAATAAAAAAGAATAAGATCATGACATTTGCAGGGAAATGGATGGCATTATAGAAGATTATGCTAAGTGAAGTTAGCCAATCCCCAAAAAACAAATGTGTAATGTCTTCTCTGATATAAGGGGGGTGACTCAAAAAGGGGTTGGGAGGGAGAGCAAGAAAGGAAGATTACCTCTAGATAGGGAATAAGGGTGGGAGGGAAAGGGAGGGAGAAGGGGAATAGCATGGATGGTGAAAGGAGACTCTCATCATTATACAAAAGACATGTATGAAGATGTGAATTTGGTGTCAACATACCTTATATATAATCAGATATATGATAAATTATTGTATAATGGTGTATTAAGAAATGTAATGCAAAATAAATTAAAAAATCATTAAAAAAGGACACTGTAATTGCTGTACAGAATATATTTTCTTTCTTTTAGGTATTTATTGAACCCATAGGCACTCTATCTTGAGATAGAGTCTTGCTTCATTGCCTAGGCTATCCTTGAACTTGTGATCCTTCTGTCTCAATCTCCTGAGTGGCTGGGATTACAGGTGTGTGCCACCACACCTGGTTTAGCATACATGTTCATTATACCTTCATCTTTCTATCACTTTGCAGGATTAATATTTTACCTTTGTGGAAGATTATAATTATTTACATCTTTCATTTAGTGTTCTTTTTAAAAATTTGGTTAGGGTTTATTTAAACATTTTGATTTTATTTCATTTAAAAAGGAATACTTTTTCCCTATTAGGTTATCTGACATATGATAATGTTATTTTCAACATGTATCATTTATGTATCCGGATTATTAGTTATGAGTGAGCCAGATCATCTTGTTTTTTTGGGTAAACAGAATAGCTGAAAGTAAGTCCTAACATCTCTTCTTCTGAGGGCCATTCTGATGTGTATAGCTAAGTGCAAGTCAAATGCCCTGGGTCTTAATTTCTATAACAATGACAGTAACAAGTTACTATGTAGCTTATTTTTTTTTAAAAAAAATTTAGTTGTCAAGGGACCTTCACTTGTATTTATTTATTTATATGTGGTGCTGAGAATCAAACCAGTGCCTCACACATGCTAGGCAAGTGCTCTACCACTGGGCTGAGACCTCAGTCCCTCTGTGGCTTATTCTGCACCATCAAAAATCTATATCACAAGCCAGGTGCAGTGGTGCCTGCCTATAATCCCAGTGGCTAGGGAGGCTGAGACAAGAGGATCTTGAGTTCAAAGCCAGCCTTAGCAAAAGTGAGGTGCTAAGCAACTCAGTGAGACCCTGTCTCTAAATAAAAACAAAATAGGGCTGGGGATATGGCTCAATGATTGAGTGTCCCTGAATTCAATCCCTGGTACCTTCCCACCAAAACAAAACAAAACAAAACAAAAAAAAAAAAAAAACAAAAAAAACTACATCACAGCAGAGGGTGGGTGTGGGCAGTGGCCTATGACTGTAATCCCAGGGACTCAGGAGGCTGAGACAGGAGGATTGAGAGTTCAAGGCCAGCCTCAGCAACTTAGGCCCTAAGCAATTTAGTGAGACCCTGTCTCAAAAAATAAAAAGGGCTAAGGATGTAGCTCAGTGGTAAATTGCCCCTGGGTTAAATCCCCAGTATCCTCTGCCTCCAGAAAAGAATCTACATCACTCTAAGGAGCATTCCCCTGACCTAATTTTGGCTGCAGAAGTTCATGATCCCCAGGAGGCACATCCTACCTGCTGGATGTTGGCATTGTTGGGTGCATTAATGCAATCTTCCAGCTCGGACAGACGGCTGGTTTTAGCCAATGCAAAAATAAGTTCAGTCTCTATATAGGATGCACAGCTGTTTTTCCTAGCCATCTGCAGGAATTTCACTAGATCCTCCCAGTTGTCTAAGGACAGAGAGCAAAGTCAGGTTAACTCATATTTTATGTTTAAAATTTTTTATGGCAAGTTGTTTTAATTAAGAACTTAAAGCCAAAATTTAAAAAGACTTTATGTAGCATTTATTTAAAAAAATACTGGACTCTCAAGAAAAAAAAGTTTTAGATTTTTCCAACATGAAAGGCAGCTTGAAACTATCTCACTGATTTGCGATATGTTCCAAGAATTAGGAACATAATTACAACCACATCAGTTCCCAATAAGAAAAAAGTAGAAAATCAAATTTTACAACTTTTAAAAATTCATAGGCTCAACAGGAAGCTGCCACCCATTAAAAGAGAGAAGACTGATCTCAATCATCAAGGACTTGGACATAGGAGGATCCACACCTGCTTACACTCAGTGATTCATTGTTCACATCATAAATTCCTTATAAAATTTTGTTCATTTGTCTTCTACTTAGAAAGAAGGGGGAGGGAATTGGTCAATATGCCTTCCAGATTCACTTCTGCCTCATTTTCAGTGGTAAGTGCATAAATACAAGTGTGTTTTTGAGGATTCTGGCTGCTCATAGGCTGGAGGGAGTGGGCTCCAGGTGCTACGCTCCCAGCTATCTTTCTGATATTGTTACTGGGTTGGGTGGATGAAATTGGCTAAGCCACGGCTTTACAGAAGTCTGAACACCAGCTACACTGTTGTGGAATGAAGCTAGTTTGTGTTCTAAGAACCACTGCACTTCAAAGATCCAGAGTGAAAAACCAAGGCATGCTCAGCTTCATGTCCAACACCAACTTTCCATTCATGCCTGCAGATGCTAAGCTGGAGGCCAAGCACCTTGATCATCCCTTCCAGGACAGTCCTTGCTGCATGAACAGGCCTATAATTTGATGGAAATGAGCTTCTGTGAAGACTGCTTTCCATTGCAAAGGCAAACACACTAAAGGAAGCAGCACTGTTGTATAGCTGTGCCTGCTCACGCTCCACCACGCTCTTAGTAAGGTACAGGTAAGACTGGCCAGGAATCAAAAACTGACTTATTCAACTTAATGCATGAATATTGCACATATCAAGACTTTAAGTTCTGTAGAAGAAAGAGCAGTTAAAGTGGAGTGGGCAATGTCTCTAATGGTGTCTTCCATTGACCCCACTCCAAGGGCCTATCTCAATTCATTACATGTGATTTCAGATTATAAATTCTACACGTTCTGCCAGCTATTACAGAAGAAACTAGAGTCCACAGTAGGTGCATGCCAAAGTGGTTGTACCTTACATGGTCTAAAAAGAAAATCCTGTAATTAAAAAGATGTGACACTGACTCAAAAGAAACTTCATTACTACCCTAAACACACAGTGAACTAACATTTCATTCACTGGAATATATTTTAACTATTAAATTATTAAGTGCCTAGATGACCATTCACAGAGAAGAGGTGGCTTTGCCCAGCCCAGGAAACCACAATTTACTGTAAGGTGATGTGAATTGAAATATAAACAGTCTTTACTTTTTTTAGTAGCCATTGACTGTCCTAGGTCCACTATACATGGACCCAAGGTCATGGTTGAGTACTGCTTACTTGGTACTCTTTCACAAAGGGAACCACTTGTACCTCAGTAAACATAAGTCTAGTGGATCAATATATTATCCACAGGTATGTATGATTATAATGTGCCAATTAAAAAAGAAAGAAAAAAAACAAGTCTAGTAGACCTCAGAGGCCAGGTGCATGGCCCCTAGGACTGGTAACACCACCCACCTCTACCAGCCAAAGCTGGAGGGAAACCTCTAGCCATTTAAAGGTATCTGGTACCTCAAAAATGAAGACACTCTGAAACAACTCTTACAAGAATAACAGGTTGGGCTGGGGTTGTGGCTCAGTGGTAGAGTGCTTGCTTAGCATGTGTGAGGCACTGGGTTCAATCCTCAGCACCACATAAAAAATTACTAAATAAAATAAAGTTATCAAAAAATCTTTTTTAAAAAAAGGAATAACAGGGTCTGGGGGCTTGTCTTCACCAGCAACTAAGTGTTATGGCTTCAACATTCTGCTCTACTGCTGAGGTAGATGACAAAATTCATCCGCACAATAGCCTTCTGGCTGTTCCAGACCTTGTGTGATGGATGGTCTCTGTCCTTTTTAGTGTTCATAGACAATCTTGTCCCTTGGTCAACTTTTTTTTTTAAAGAGAGAGTGAGAGAGGAGAGAGAGAGAGAGAGAGAGAGAGAGAGAGAGAGAGATAGAGAGAGAGAGAGAATTTTTTTTTTAATATTCATTTTCTAGTTCTCGGCAGACACAACATCTTTGTTTGTACGTGGTGCTGAGGATCGAACCCGGGCCACACGCATACCAGGCGAGCGCGCTACCGCTTGAGCCACATCCCCAGCCCCTTTGGTCAACTTTTTAGGAGGCACATGTCTAAGCTTTTGCCGAGTAGTGGGGTGTATGTACTCCATCACCCACCGTCTCTCTGCAGAGGGGACCTCCACCTTCCTGTTCTCCACCTTCCTCTTTTTCTTGGCTTTTAAAGCTGATTTGTAAATCTCATGAACCTGGGCACACACACTGTCTTCTGGCTTCTGGTGTTCATCTTTCTTTCTCCCCAGCCATAAAGAGAAAACAGGTGCTTGTTTTAATTTACTGGATGATCTTTGGGGACTTCTGACTTGCTTTCCTATTTCCTCTAGCAAATTATGCTGGAGGGTAATTCGTCAGTCTCTTTTGCTCTGGTTTTTTGTTAGGGTTTTCTTATACATCTTTCACTGGTAGTGCTGGCTGCGCCGTGCCTCTCTGTGCTCCCCTACAGGCCACTCCGACTCCTCAATCGTGGAGGCTTCAGTGAGCCAGCACCCAGGCTTGGGGCACTATTCTGCCTACCAGGTCCAATCTTTGAGGTGCAGACTGGGATCCAGGTATCTCTGAGCCTGGGAGCATGTGCCTGCTCCAATAGCTTCATGACAGCATGGCGTGTCTCAGCTTGGCTCCTCATAGTGCTTCAAGTATGAGCTCTTCACCCCGCTGACCAGGACATGGTGCTGCTCTCCACCACCGGCGTACTCCAGCACTCCCATACAACAAAGAGGCCACCCTGCCCGGTGCCCAGAGCTGATCATTTTAAATAGGGGCTTAGTTCCTCCCATTCTGCCCTCAGTCATACATATTTAACCTCTCCATTATGTCTCATGGAGAGCTCAGAATCCAGGAAATGTCTAAAAGGTCTTAGCTGTACCCATAAGCAGAGCCCTACTTCAGGAGGAAGAAAGGGAAGGGGGTAGCGCCACAAGCAAGCTACCCCTGGGAACTGGAACCTTGCAAAAATGTTACGAGGGGGCAGGATGTTAATTGTAGTCCCTGGAGAGGTCAGTGCCACCAAAAACCAGATACACCAGATACCCAGGAAAGTGAGCATAAGTCAGTGACCTTAAAATTACAACAGTGATCATCTATAATGCTTAAGCTGCCTAACCTTGCTAAAAAAAAAAAAAAAAAAAAGGGCAACAGTCTGGAAAGCTAGTGTCATTAATAGAGTATTACTAATCTCAGACTCTTATATCTGGATGCATAAAACACAGATATTCCTGAGAAGCTCTTCAACTTCTTGTCTCAGTCAGGTTTCACACCAGTGATAAAAAGTGCCCCTGGAACGGGAATTTACTTACTGCTCTTGGTGGCGGCCTGAACAACTTCCAGGTAAGAGGTAGGGTCATCTGCTCTGATGTAGGAGTCGATGGCTTCCTTCACCAAGTCCTTCTGAAGCTGTGCTTGGGCCAGCTGACTCCACACAGCAGGCTCATTGCATTTTTCTGCAAACTCGTATGCTCGGTCTAGGTTTCCAATATTCTCAATCAGAACCTAGAGGTTACAAGAGGACTTGCTTTGCCACAACACCTAGTCAGCTCCAAAGTGTTTGGCTGCCTATTCTGCCTAGAGTTGCATGACCATTTCAACACAGCTGGGCACTAGATCAGTGAACCGATGAAAAGATAAGAGTTGGTGGATTAGGGGGTGGTCCTAGACAGAGAAGAGACATTCTAATAGAAAGGTATAAAGAAATGGAAATGTTGTGGTGTGTGCCTGTAATCCCACTGATACAGGAGGACTGCATGTTCGAGGTCAGCCTCACCTTTCAGATTATAAGATTCACAGGCAAGTATAGAAAAATGGTAAAGGAAGAGGCAAGAAAAGTGAAGAATATTTGTAAAAGGAGTAATTACAGTGATATGACCTGTGGTTTATAATTGATTTGGAGATAAAACCATAAAAGAGGACTGAGGATGTAGCTCAGTGGTAGAGCACTTGCTTTCTATGTGTGAGGCGCTAGTCTAGATGCATAGCACTACAAAAAATATAAAATAAAGTCTCACAGGGAAGATGGGTACTTTGGTGGAAGGATAGGCAGAAAGGGCTGGAAGGATTGCTCTGGGAGCTTAACCTTAGATACCGAATGGTTCCTGTAACATGGGAGCATAGGGAGATGAAGCACGATGGTGGTAAAAAGCTAAGGTATGAGAACCTCCAAAAATCAAACACCCAAGTCACCAGGGCTGACCTCAGTACCATAGGTACCTAAGTCCAGAAGAGTGCCATGGAGCAGAAGGAATAAAACCAGAGAAGATGAAGGCAAGGAGATGACAGGCTGGGAGGAACAGAGAGAAGTACAAGTATCCAAGAGATACACTGGATGACCTGAATGTCTGATACCCTCTGTGAATGACAAGGCCCTGAGATGAATCATGCAGTGCAACACAGCATGGGCTTAAGACAACATGCCTGCAGCAGCCCACCTGGATTGCTGAGGCATTCACACCAAACTTGTAGAAGATGGTGAAGGCCTCCTCATACAGCACACTACTGATGGCAATGCTTGCGATGTCTGCAGCATCATAGTTGTCCAGGCGGCTGATATACTCCATGACCCGTGTTCGATCTGCCTTGATGGCAGTCAGGATCAGCAGATTCTGGAGATTCCTGAGAAGAGGAAGTGCTCAGCATGATGCCCAGGAATGAAGGCCCCACACAGCAGACCAAGATCCCTAACTTTTTTTTTTAAAGTAACTAATACACATACATGATTGATAAGTAGATACAACAGAATATTTGTGCAGCAAATAGAGTCTAAAGAGAAATAATACGGCAATGTCTTGGGAAAGCACCACTAAGAGAATCAACATGGGCAGTTACTGTGAGGGTGGCTCTGCTTTCACAGGAGCCCAGCATCTGTTCCCCACTTCAAAGGTACCAATCTTCTTAACAGTGTCTACTGCTCTTTGTGATCCTTTATAGTTTTACCACATCTTCTACACTCCTAAATAATACAGGTAATTTTTCACAAAAATGTGAAAAAAATCAATGTAATGCATCACATATCAAGAAACTAAAAAAATACCACAAGATCATTATCAAATGATTCAGAAAAAGCATGTGACAAATCCAGTAACTGTTAGTGATAAAAATTCTCAACAAAAAATAGAAAGGAACTTCTTCAGTCTAATGAAGGACATCAACCAAATCTCAGAACTAACATTATCAGTAATAGTGAGACACTGGATGCTTTCTTCTAGGATCAGGAACAAGACAAGGATGTCCACTTCTACCTTCTCTTTAACATTATACAGGAGGTTTAATTCAAAGCATAAAATGATATGAAAGCATCTAGATCAGGAAGAAATAAAACTGTCCCAATTTGCATGATTGATTTTTAATAATCTCATTTGAATCTATAAAAAAATCCCCAAAATTAATGTTTGGCAAGGTTGTAGAATATAAAGTCAACATACAAAAATTAACTGTATTTCTATATATGAGCAATGTTTAGTGATGTACAATTGTTAAGTTAAAAAACCCACAACAAACTATTTCATAGCTCTAAAACTGTGGAATATTTAGAAATATTTAATAAAACATGTACATAATCTGTATGTCAAAAACTATATAAATTGCTGAAGAAAGCAATGAACTATTTAATAAATAGAGAGACATACTGCTTTCATAGACTCTCTACAGTAAAAGATGTAAATTTCCCGTAAATTGGTACACAGATTTCCTGAAATTCCAATCAAAGTCTCATAAGATTTTCTTGTAAACTCACAAGCTTATTCTAGGAATTGGAATAGCTAAAACAATTTTGAAAAAAAATGAAGCTAAGGGAATCATACTACCTGATTAACTGATTTTTTTAATAATTATTTTTTAGTTGTAGTTGGACACGATACCATTATTTTATCTATTTATTTTTATGTGGTGCTGAGGATGGAACCCATGGCCTCACACTCGATAGGCAAGTGCTCTACTGCTGAGTCATAGCCCCAGCCCTGATCAACTGATTTTTGACAAAAGATGCCAAAGCACTTCAAAAGAGATAGGACAATAGTCAATAAATAATGCTGGAATGACTGAATAGTCATATGTAAAAAGATGAACCTCACCCTAAACATTATACCTTATTGGATATTAGACCATAGAACTATATTATAAAATGAAAAAATACTCAACTTTTAGAAGAAACACAGGGAAAATATCTTTCTGATCTGGGATTAGGCACAGAATTCTTAAATTTAACACCAAATCACAGCCCCCCAAAAGTTTATGACTTGGGCTGGGGCTATGCCTCAGCAGTAGAGCACTTGCCTATCGAGTGTGAGGCCATGGGTTCCATCCTCAGCACCACATAAAAATTAATAAATAAAGATATTATGTTTACCAACAACTAAAAAAAACTTTTAAAAAGTTCATGAATTGGACTTTATCAAAATTAAAACTGGCTGTTGAGCAGCTCAGTGGTACAGCACTTGGTTAGCAAGCACCAGACTCTAAGTTTAATTCCCATCACAACTCTAAGAGAACAAACAGGAGAATTACAGAGTGAGAAAAATATACGTTAAATTACATTTAATAAAGGGCTTGAAAACTCTCAAACTGAAAAAAAAAATCAACCCAACTGAAAAAGATTCGAAGTAACATTTCACCAAGAAGGATATGTGGATGTTAAATAAGCACATAAAAATTGTTCAGCATCTTTAGCCATTAGGGAAATGCAAATTAAAACCACAATGATATAGTTACCAATAAATCCAAGTACAGGAAATATTTCTAAATGGTAATGTACCATTCTACATTTGAAAATGAGAAAAGATTAATTTTATAGGAAAAATACAGAATTCTAATCATGAAGTTACTTTGAGCACAACTTTTTTAAGAGCAATTTTTCATACTCAATTGCTCTGGCCGTTTGTCAAAAGTCAATTGATCATATTCTATAGATTATTTCTGTACTCTCTATTCTGCTCCATTGATCTATGTCGGTTGCATTGGGAGTAATTTTGAGGTTAATTTACAAGAAAATGGACAGAAAAAATATATTAGTTTTATTATGAAAATTCAAAAAACATATTTTGTATTTCAATGAATATTAAAGAATGGGTAAAACTCTTCAAAAACAAACAAACAAATAAAAACCAACCCCACAATGATATGCTACTATATACTTATTAAAATGGCTAAAATAAAAAACACTGATAATACCAAGTGCTGGTGAAGATGCAGAGCAACTGGAACTCTCATATTTTGCTGGTGGGAATGCAAAATGTTACAGCCATTCTGGAAAACAACAGTTTGGCAGTTTCTTAAACAGTTAAACACACACAAAGCAGATGACCCAGTGATTACTGGGTATAAAACCTGGACACAAATGTATTCATATTTACCCCAACTGAAAATAACTCAAATGTTCTTCAGTGGGTGAACAGTTAAACAAACTATGGTACATTCATATAACAAAATATCATTCAGCAATTAAAAAAATAAACTACTGATGCACACAATATCTTGGATGAATCTGAAAGACATTATGCTGAGTGAAAAAGCCAGTCTCAAAAGAGTACATACTGTGTGATTCTGTTTATATTACATTCTGGAGAAGGCAAAACAAGAGCGATGGGTGGTTGCCAGGTGTTAGAAGCTGGAGGTTGAAGAGAAGTGTAACTATACAGGGTGGCTAGCACAGAGTTGAAGGTGATGATACTATTCTGCATCCTGATTGTGGTAGTCATATGAATCTATACAAGTGTTAAAATTCCTAGTACTATACATAATCCCAACTCTTGGTCAATTTTACTGTATGGTGATTAAAAAAAAAAAGAAAAAGAAAAGAAGTAAAAATAAAAAATAAAGCTAAAGTTAGTTCTTAAGATTCATTCATGCAGCTGGGCGCAGTTGCGCATACCTATAATCCCAGTGGCTTGGGAGGCTGAGACAGGAGGATTGCAAGTTCAAAGCCAGCCTCAGAAAAAACGAGGTGCTAAGCAATTCAGTGAAACTATCTATAAATAAAATACAAAATAGTGCTGGGTATATGGCTCAGTGGGTAAGTGCCCCTGAGTTCAATCCCAGCTACTGAAAAAAAAAATCATCCATTCATTTTCTACTGCTACTTGGTATTCTAATTTATGACTATACCAAAATCTATTTATTGATGATTTTCCAAATTGCTCTAAGATTTTTGCTACTGGAAACCATATTCCTTTAAGTAGTCTTGAACATGTTCTCTAATACATGTGAACTGAGTTCCTTTAGGGTTCGTAACCAAGAGAGGAAGTTGCTGGGTAGATGCTGCTTCTGGCACCAAACTACTTTCTGAGYGTAATGAGCATTCCCAGCAGGGGCATGTAAGAGGCCCAGTTACTTTACATCCTCATCAGTGCTGATCAGGAAAGCTAGACTCCCACTGCTCTGGCAGAAGCAAAGGATGATGTAGTGTGGCCTCACCCTGTAATTCCTTTATGGCTATTGAGGCTCAATTCTTGCCTGACATTCACTAGATGTCTTTCCTCTCATCAAGGGGCCTGTTGAGAACTCTTTTTTTTTTTTAATTGGGTTGCTTATGTTTTTCTCTCATTGAATCTGCTGCAAATGTCTTCCTTCCATTTATATTTTCCCTCATCTTTATGATAAAAGTTCTTAATAGTCCTACTGGTTTTTCATAAAGATTTATGATTTTTTTATGTGTGACTGGCTAAATAACTTATTAGATCATAAATACTCTTCAAATATGAAAGGTAATAACATTATAGTTTTGCATTTTATCTTCAATGTTTTCATAATATGAAAGATTTAAATATTTTAAAAATATTTTCCATCTAGATAACCCAACTATTTATTGAAAAGTTTGTTTCCATCTACATTGCCAGCTTGGTTTCAAATACACATTTTAAATAATATGTAGGTATCTATAGCTCTTTTTCTTTTTTTCAGGCAGGGGAAGGGGCCAGAGGACTGGAGAGTGAACCCAGGGGCATTCTGCCTCTGAGCTGCATTCCCAGCCCTTTTATTTATTTATTTATTTATTTATTTTTTTAATATTTATTTTTTAGTTTTCAGTGGACACAACATCTTTGTTTGTATGTGGTGCTGAGGATCGAACCCGGGCTGCATGCATGCCAGGCGAGCGTGCTACCGCTTGAGCCACATCCCCAGCCCAGCCCTTTTATTTTGAGTCAGACATCTCCCTAAATTTCCAAGGTTGGCCTCAAATTTACAATCCTCTTGCTTCAGTCTCCTGCATCACTGGGATTATAGTGCCTCTACACCCAGCTATTACTTTTTTAATTTTTTTGGTCGTGGGATTTGAATCCACAGGAGTGCAATTACCACTTAGTAATATCCCTAGCCCTTTTAAATTTTGAGACAGGGTCTTGCTAAGTTGCTGAGGCTGGTCTTGAACTTGCAATTCTCCTGGAAGCCTCTTCATTCTATTATAATGGTCTATTTCTCCCTTTCTTTGCCAAAATCATTATGCCTTCTTTAGTTTTACAGTAATTATGGATTAGGATTAGTACTTTACCACCCTAACACCCATTTTGACCTCTTGGGTAATTAATTATTTGTTTTAGTAGGATCTTGACTATTTTTGGCTTTTATATATATAAAATCCCCTGAGTAAATAAATAGGGATTACTGGCATTGCATCAGATTTGAATGATATGGGTAAAACTGATGTATTTAGTCAGGGTCTTCTGATCATGAATTACACAGGCTGTTAACCATGGCTGAGTGAAAAGGACTGTAGAAGTTCACTTTGTTCTTAACTGTCTTCTGGTTGTTTTTTTCTCTAATAAGCCTGTCTACTTATTGAATTATAATTCAATTATAGGTAAATTCATTTAAGCAAACTTAGAATGCAATTAACTGTCAACAGTTATATTTACTTCAAATTACATTTACTATTGTATTTTTTATATATATACTTTTTCTTTTAACACAGGATCCTTTTAATATATATTTTTTTAAAAATTTAATTTTTCTATCACTACTTGGAGAGGTATATTAATATTTACCTATATGATGAACTTGCTTTTCTCCTTATAGCTATCAATTTCTGTTTCCTTGTATTTTGAGGTTGTATTATTAAGTGCATATGTTTGGAATAATCTTCCTGATGATGAAATCTTTCATCATTATGCACTTGGCCTTCTTTATATCAATAATGCTTTTTACTTTAAGGTCTATTTTATGTATTATTAATATAACATATATATATAAAAGTGTGTTTTTGGGTTTGGCATTTACCTATATTATTTTTTCATTCTTTTATTTTTGACTCCCTTATGTTTTATCAACAGTATGTTCATGGTTTTTTTTTCTTTATCTAATTTGGAGCATCTGAAGTCTTGTATTTGTAATATGTGATCTATTTACACTTAATATAATTACTGCCATATGTAGATTTACTTCTACCATCCCTTTTTTTCTTCTTCTTTTTTTGGTGGTGCTGGGGATTACCGTTTCATTTTATCTTTGCAATGTGTTCCTACCTTTTCTTTTTTCTTCATCTCCTTTCTTAGCCTTCTTTTTGGTTGATAATTTTCTTTAATTTTTTTCAGTACTGGTTATTGAATCTCAGGGGTGATTTTCCACAGAGATATATCCCCAGTTCTTTTTTAAAAAAAATTAGGGACAGGGTCTTGCTAAGTTGCTGAAGTTGAGGTTGAAACTGCAATCTTCCTGCCTCAGTCTTCTAAGTTTCTGGGATTAGAAGCATGCACCATTGCACTTGGCTAGATTGATAATTTTCTTATTCCATTTCTTTTATTCTTCAACTAGTTTAGAAGTTAGGTACTCTGGTCTTTTCATGGTTCTGCTTGAAATTTTAACATGAATAATTAACTCATAAAAGACTAAAGTTAATTATTATATTTATCTTTAAAATGACCCTAAAATATTACCTACCAACTTATATTCAAGCTATTATCAATTGTTATTCCCTTTTTTCTACCACATGATTTTTTTCTTTATATAGTCAATACTATTTTGCTCTTTGTTCCTTCTTTTTTTAAAAAATATTTATTTTTTAGTTGGACACAATATCTTTATTTATTTATTTTTATATGGTGCTGCAGATCGAACCCAGGGCCTCGCATGTGCTAGGCGAGAGCTCTACTGCTGAGCCACAACCCCAGCCCCTCTTTGTTCCTTCTTATCCCCACATGGGACTGCTTCCTTCTGCCTAAAAGACACTTGTTAGTATTTCCTTTAGCGTAGGTCTATTATTCACAAAGTTTTTCATTAAATCTATATAAAGAGACCTCTATTTTACCTTTCTCTTAATTTATAAAAGTATACAGTTCTAAGTTGATAGTTACTTTTTATGTGTGTGATGCTAGGAATCAAACCCAGGGCCTTGCACAAGCTAGGCATACAAATTTTTTTTTAGCTGGGTGCGGTAGAGCTCATCTCTAATACCAGCCATTGGGGAGGCTAAGGCAGGAGGATAGCAAGTCCAAGACCAGCATAGGAAACTTAGAAGGACCCTGTATCAAAATACAATAAAAAGGGATAAGATGCAGCTCAGTAATAAAATGCCTCTTGGTTTAATTCCCAGTGCAAAAAAAACAAAATTTTTTTTTTCTCCTCGGGATCTGATCTATTGAGCTTCCTAAATCTGAAAGCTATAATCTTGTCAATTTTGTGAAATCACCATAATTCTTTCCCTGCAAATAGCATCTTTAATTCTAGGCTTTTTCTGATGTTCTGACTAGATTTCCTTTCAACCTCTGCATCTCTTAAACCTTTTCACATTTTCTTTTCTTTTTTGGCTATACTTGTATATTTTCTTCAAATCTATCTCCCCAAACATTTATTCTGTAATGGTGCTAAACACACTGAGGTTTACTTCAAAATAAATGTGTGTGTCTCTTAGTTGGTCCTTTGAAAAATCTGCTTGATCATTTTTTGATATTTAAAAACTTTACAGATAGCTGGATGTGGTATTGATTGCATGCCTGTAATTCTAGCTACTGGGGAGTCTGAGGTAGAAGGATGGCAAGTTTGAGGCCGGACTTGGTAAAGAATGAAAGATTCTATCTCAAAGTAAAAAAATAAAAAAGGTTTGGGGATATAACCCAGTGATAAAGTACCTCTGAGTTCAATCCCCTGTATTGAGGGAAAAAATTACATGTAATTTTATATTCTATGCTTGATAGTCCCAATGTCTACATTTTTGCACGTCTCATTCTACTGTTACTGTAGTCTTTTACTAAAGTTGCTTTGTTTCTCTGTGAATTCTGTCAATTTTTTAAAAATATTTTTTTAGTTGTAGATGGACACAATACCTTTATTTTATTTATTTATCTTTTATGTGGTGCTGAGGATGGAACCCAGTGCCTCACATGTGCTAGGCAAGCACTCTACCACTAAGCCACAACCCCAGCCCCTGTCAATGTTTTTATTATGAATTCATTATTTCTTGGAATGTTTTCTGTTAGAAATCTTTGTATTTGTCTTTGGCAGAGATCTTAGGATGCTTCCTGAAAATTCCTGACTTGAAGATTTCTAATACTATGCTGTTAAAAGTAAATTTTTTGTTAAAACCCATGAAAGGGCCAGCTTATTGGGGTCAGTTTTGTTCTCATAGTCTAGCATTGTGATTCAGAAGAGCTTTTTTTTTTTTTTTTTCAACAGGCATTGAACCCAGGTATGGTGCTTTTTATATTTTATTTAGAGACAGGGTCTCACTGAGTTGCTTAGGGCCTTGCTAAATTGCTGAGGCTGGCCTTGAACTTGTGATCCTCTTGCCTCAGGCACCTGAGCCATTAGGATTACAGGTATGTGCCACTGTGCCTGGCTTCTTTACTGTTTTGATTTGGCTGGTCTTTCTCAGCAGAGGGCTAAATAATTCTTAGTTATCTTTGTCTTCAGGAGGGTTTTTTTCTCTTCCCTTTTATTAGATGTCACATTCTTTTTTTTTTTTTTTTTTTTTTTTTTGTACTGGGGATTTAACTCAAGGGCACTTTACCACTGAGCCATATCCCCACATCCCCAGTCCTTTTTATTTTTATTTTGAGACAGCTCGATGCAGTAGAACTCATCTCTAATACCAGTCATTGGGGAGGCTAAGGATTAAAGTCAATTCAAGATGATCTTTGAAAGACCTTGCTATGTTGCTAAGGCTGGCCTTGAACTTGTGATCTTCCTGTTTCAGGCTCCTAAGTCACAGGAATTACAGGAGTGAGCCATTGTGTCTGGTGGCTAGATGTCACATCTTTTGTAGGCCCTTAGCCTTTGTCTCTTGTCCCCTATTGGGAGAACCACAGCCTGGGCTCAACAGGGTTTGGCAAAACTCAACCTGTGTTCTTTTTGAGTTCTTGCTATCATCATCATTATTATTTTCTAATTGCAGACGTCATTATTTACTTGCTGCACACTGTTTCTGATTTTTTTAACACCAGAACTTGTTTTGTTTTTAATTCACCTATAATTTGGAGTTTTTCCAGTGATAGGATCTGCCCAAGTCTCTAGGTACCTGATCTGTACTACTGCCAATCCAGGCTGTTTTCATTTATGTCTACTGAAATAGTCACAGAAAGAAGAGCAAGAATGTGAAAGTCTCTCTGCATCTGTGAAAAGTAGCAGTGTTCATGGAGGCAGCAGAGTCAGTGTCATCTGGAAGCATCTTGAAGCACCCACAAGCCAACACCTACCATCAAAGGAAGTAGGTCAGACAGCAAGGTAGAATACCCTAACTACTTTGGGTGCCTTCTTTCTAGTACTCTCTTATCAATCTGGGCTTATGATTCTATTGAAATATGCAGTAATCACACATTCCATATTTACCATGCAGCATTTACAAATTTAAAAACATAAAACTTACATACATTCCTTTCTGTAATACCATAGCCCTCGAAAGTCTTTCTGGTCTATAAAATCTTACAATTAAATCTTTACACCAGGATTTATAATGTGAACACATTACAACCTGACAGATTCTGATGATGATTTTAAAGTGGCAACATATTAGCTGAAGCTATATACAACAGAAGCCACTGAGAACCACAGGTTCTCATCAAATGTTAGCTTTCCTTCTCTGAGCATTGAGATTACAGAACAGTGGGAACTAGAATAAAAAGCCTTCCTGCAACAATTAAAATAAGATAAGGGAAGGGTGAACTGAAGACACAGGAGGTAGTAAAAAGGCTGACTGGGGAGTAGTCATGGATGAGTGAAGCAAGACAAGATTATTACAAAATGTGACTATTGAGAAGATGTCTAAATTTAGCTGTGGACATGGACTCCCCGGCACACCATTACCTGTGCTCACTGAAGACAGAATTATCCAGAACAATCTTCTCCAGCAGTTCAATCAATTCATTAGGGAGGTCAGCTGTCATAAAGGCTTTGACAGCGACTGAAACCTCTTCAGGATCCTGTGTTTCTGATAATGCTGATTGTACCACCTGGTTTTAAGAAATATTTGAAAGAACCTGATTAAAGTCAATTCAAGACGATCTGTGAAGTAAAAAGAAGGGGAGAATTCCTCCAAGATGATCTGGAGCAGAAACAGGGAAAAATGGGCAGTTTTCTCAAGGAAGAAAGGGAAGAGAACTTAGAAAAGTCAACTTTAGGGATTTCTGTTTTCCAACTTTGACAATTAGTTTTTCTCTCACAAAAGGGCAACGGACTTTTATTTCTGTTCCAATGATTACACTAAGTGTATTCCAAAGCAAATAACTCAGTGTACTAAGTAGATATTTGAAATGCACATTTGCTGTTACCTTTCTTATGTAAGGCCACCATTCATAACAAACTTGGCCCTGTTTCTCTAATGAAGACACTGCAGAGGCCTCCAGCAGCTTCTTGCTAACAGAGGGCACTGTCACTGCTGTGGCACAGTACACTTTCAGGGAATGCATCACATGCAATTGGAGCTATAGAGCCTTGACACCAGAAGCCACTGAGAACCACAATCTAAAAAAAAAAAAAAAAAAAAAAAAAAAAACCAACAGAAGACTGGCCATGCCACTCCTCATCCAATTACCAGTGACTCATCTACCAAAAAGCTAACAAACAGGAAAAAAAGACACTTTTCCAAAGAGTGGGTGTTCTCGATAACAGCAAATTAGAAAATTAGCAGTGTTCTCTTTGCACTTGTACCAGGGGTCTTTAATGACTTTGGGGATCTACAATTTTTGCTGTTTCTGGTGTTCCTCAGAGGCAGGTAACAGCAGTGTATTAATTAGAAAGAACAAACAGCTGGGGAGGTCTCAGAGCTGACATGCCTCTGGCCACAAAACAGGACTAAAAGAAGCCTCTCAAGGGAGCCCAGTCCACCCCTCAGATGGCCTCTGTGTACTCAATGGCACCATGAAATGTGGAAGTTCTATCTCTGAATAGTTTACAATCACAACAAACATGCTAAGGAGTTAAGGGAGAAGGAGCCATTGCAGCAGCCAAGTAATCAAAAGGAGTAAACTTGAGGGAGAGGGGCGCTGTGGCACAGCACACCAAGTCCATCCAAAGAAGAGACACACTTTGTGGCATCTCAACAGTGATGCTTGTCAGTTCTTAAAAATCTTAGTGTAAATATATACATACCCACAGGTTGTTTTAAGAGCAAAAATAAATTTCTACCTTTTACTTGAATTAACACAGGATGCCCAATTAAGGCTACCTCAGGACACTCACTGCTTCCTTAAGTAATTTGCATAAAATTCTCCTTTAGACACTGAAAGCAGTCTGCCTCTGTCATGTACTCCATGAGAGGAGCATTATAATTGAGTGTCCTACCAGGAGGTGACTACAGATGATCAATTAGAGCAGACATAATGACTAGCCCAGCAGTTTCACATAGAAAAAAGGATACATGGGGCCCTGCTGGCTCTAGTTTGGTGCAGTGTCAAAGCTGCTTTCTCAAGAACCAACATGAGAGTATCTGGTGGGTGACTACACCTAAAGAAACATCTGATGTCTGTGAACTTGGAGATAGATCCTTATGGAATCTAAATGGCCCTTTGTTGCTCAAAGTTTTAGGAGATTTGAATGAAGTATATTAAGTCTTCAGGCAAATTTCAAGATTGATAAGTCTGAAGTTGCCTTAATATTCAAAATAATATGGGTTTCTGTAAGTCTAAAAGTGTTTCAAAATAAAAAAGTTTACTTAAAAATGGTATAGGCTTGAAGGAACTATAGACAGAAAATAAGGAAGTTAGTAGAGATAAGGTAAAATCTGGCCCTTGAGTTTAAAGTACCTGACCAGCATGTTGTTAGGTATCCAAGTAAGGCTGGGACTTTATTGAATATATGCTCATGGTTGAAGCCACTTGGATAAGGGTTTTAATACCACATTGATATTGGCTACCCCTCAACAGTATGCTCAGCAGCCTTGTTGTCCTAAGGACTACAGAAACACTGTTAATGTCTGCAAGGTTGCGACAGGTGGTATGGGAAGCTCACCCAGAGGTGGAGGCAGATCTTTCTTCCCCTTGCCACTAGGTCATACCTAATAAAGACCCTGACCCTAGCACCATATTCCAGCTCCAAGGAGGTACTGTATAGTCAAAAGGGCATGGGGTTGACTAGATGTTAAGAATCACTCAACTTATGTCAACAGGGGGCTGAGTTGGAAACACCTCAGGATCTAGCATGCAGATCCTGTCATCAAGTATTCTTTCGTAGGGGCGGCCCAGCCATGTTTCAGATACAAGGGCAAACTCTGTAACCTTAGCTAATAAACAACTCCAAGTCAATTTACCCTTGGAAATCAAGCCTTTTCTAGGCAAGCTGACTTGTGCAGGGCAGTGGGTTTGTAAGAGCTATATGTTTAAATATAACAACAAACCAGTCACTTGGCCCACAAGATGAATAGTGGGCAAAATTCAGGCATGCATATACCCACTTTCTATGTCTCACCTGGTCAATTAGGTGTCTCCTAGATGGGTTGGTCTCTGCAAGGACATGGGCCCACAGCTCTGGATCCTTCCTGTGTACCAGGTAGTGGGCCTCACTTTTGAACAGAGAATTTTCATTGCAAACCTGAAATGAGTACACATATGTGCTACTTAGGAGGGTATATCCCAGTGAGTTCCTTCTCCCTGATACTTATATGGACAGTTGGGACTCAGGCAAGGCTTTGGGAAGTGATGAGCATAAACCCACAGGATTAATACTGTACTCCTCAGAGAGATTAAGTACCTCCAATCACCTCTAAGTTTGCAATTATTCACAGGGAAGTGTCACATCTCTGGCCTGTAGAACCTTCTGTGATTATGGGCATGTCTATACCTTATTGTGTGATTCACCACCATTAAATACAGAAAACTCCTGAACACTTAAAATGTAGTGTGCAGCTGAGGAACTCAATTTTTAATTTTAATTAAAATTAAAATTAAATTAAATTTTAATTTAAATACTCAACTGTAGGTAGCTCCAAATCATCTCTAAAGTTTCATCTGTGTACCTAGAACTGGTATAAAACAGTATATTCACTGAAATGTTTCAAGGTCAGAAACTTTAAAATGTGCTTTCATTGACTAACTTTGAGATCCTTCTCTGAATATTGTAATAGATTTTCAAATTATTGACTATCCACTGGGATATTCCACCATGTGAAGCATTTGCTAAATCCTGGGGAGAAACATATCCTGATAGGCACAGGGCTGGGATATGTGTATGTATGTGAAGGCAACATGGGCTGCCTGTGTGGGATGGCAGGAGGCCAAAGTGGACTGGCAAAGTGCTAACCACACAGAGGCCCTGCCCTAAAGTCATACTGCAGCCCTCTCTTGAACAGAGCAGTCCTGCATGAGTATCTCTTTCCTAGCACACTTGGCCTTACTAAAAGGGTTAGCACCTCATGGAACAGATGAGTGCTAAGATCTCTAAGCAGCCATTAAACTATGCTTTAATAAAAAGGGAGTAAATTAAGCCAAAAAGTGGCTAACTGGTATCAAACAAATGAAAGTCCCAGCTTTATAAAACCAGTTCCCCAAGACTTTCAGGTGAGTGGTTATATTCACTCATTCCTGTCAATTCTGTCTAAAATCTAGGGCAGAAGGAGAAGCTGGTAACTGCTCTTCATCTTCAACTCTCCTCATATACACTCTAAAATATACCGCACCTGGTTGTTGAGTATATATATACTACGAGACCTGAGCTTCTGAGGACAAATAGACCAAATGAGCTTATAGCTGAAAAAACACTAGATTCAACCACATGAGATTTCTGGATTTGTAGGTCAAGTGGTAGTAGTTTATACAGTTTACCCTAAACACATATGTACATACACATACATCCCAGCCTGGGCAGATATAAGTAGAAGACCTGGTGAATGTTTTTCAAGGAGGCGGCAGCAAGGGCTAGGTGGGTTAGGAACAGGTGAGGGAGGGCATCTGAAAAGTTACTCTAAGAAGGGGGCAGTACAAGGGCCCTTAGGACAGGAGACACTGGAGGACTATAGGTGTTGCCAGGTGGGGCTGCAAGAGGGGAAGCAGGCTGGGTCAATGGGGGGAAGGAGGTGGTCCACAGATCAGATTAAATTCAATTTTGCCCTCAAGTCACCAGATAACTAATGTCTGTAAGCAGAGGGGTGATGGGTCAGATTCAGTGCTAGTGAAGCCTACAGATACAACAGGATATAAGGAGATCATAAAAAGGTATCAGAATTATAAAACAACTAAATGTATGGAAATGAACTTCAGACCCATCATCTCTGGGTACACAAATTCCCAATCAGCCCCTATTAGGCTGCCCTGTGAAGTCAGAGAGACACAGGAAGCCAAGTATATTTTCTGCCTACCTGGATGAGCTCTAGGTCACACTGTCCCCGCTCATAGGCAATGCAGGCCAGATGTGGGTCCCGTTTCTCACAGTACTGGCCCACCACACTACTATCATAGTAGGCATTCTCTCTCAAAAAGCGCTCAGGGCTATTGTTGCTGTCAATGTAGATTTTAGCCAGTGCATTATGAGTGGCAGGCTCTTCACAGCTTTCATGAATCCGAGACTCCAGCCAGGGAAGAAGCAATTTGAGCCTTTGAAAAAAGTAGATACTGTGAAACTCTCAAAGCTGTGATCAGGTATCTCTAGGGTAACCCTGGGCTTTGAGGATTGATTCTTTTTTTTAAATTTTTTTTTTAGTTGTCAATGGATCTTTATTTATATGCAGTGCTGAGAATCAAACTCAGTGCCTCATACATGCTAGGCAAGTGCTCTACCACTGAGCTATAACCCCAGCCCTGAGGGCTGATTCTTGAAACAACAAACAAACAATCCCTAACTCTATTTATTTCAGGTTGCCCCAGGGATAAAGACAGACCTAGCTTCCAAATATAAAGTTTTACCCCATTGTCTTCAGTACCAATAGCAACTAACTCACTCCTACACCTAATATGTATACACAAAAGAGAGACAGAGATAGTCTTGGGGACTAAAGACCAACTAATAAGGCATTTTTGAGGAGAGACTTAACAACAAATACCAGAATCCAGGGGCAAGAGAAGATACCAAGTAAAAAAACCTTACCTGTTTCTTTTTTCTACTTCAGCCACCAGCTCATCAGTAGAGAACTGTCCTCTCACCACCATGATTAAGTTTTTAATTACTTCTTCAGAACAATCCACATCAAGTAGCCCTCCAACCACAGCTGGGAGACGGCTAGGGTTGACCTAGAAGAGTCGAGGTGGCAAGTTCAGCACTGCAGACAACAGAATTGCTATAAGCCTCCCAAGACTTGTACAGTGTGGCAAAAACCTGTTTTGAACTGAACTGTGTCCCATCAAAGTTCATTTGTCAAAGCCCTATCCATGTTAAGACTGAATTTAGGGACAGGGCCTTTAGAGAGACAGAATTTTTTTAATATTTATTTCTTTTTTAATTCTCGGCGGACACAACATCTTTGTTTGTATGTGGTGCTGAGGATCGAACCTGGGCCGCACGCATGCCAGGCAAGCGTGCTACCGCTTGAGTCACATCCTCAGCCCGAGACAGGGCCTTTAAAGAGTAATTAATGTCATGTATGGTTATACTACTGGTGCAACTCTACACTATGTACAGCTAGGGGGGAGAAATAAATAAATAAAGAGGTAATTAATGTTGAGGATGGGGCCCTAATCCAATAGGACTGGTGTCCTTATAAGAAATGCATGTGCACAAAGGAAAGACCATGTGAGGATGCAGTGCTGAGGTAGCTATCTGCAGGCCTGGAAAAGAGCCCTTACTAGAAACCAACTCAGCCAATACCTTGGGCTTGGACTTTCAGCCTCCAGAAACTGTGATAAATAAATTTCTGTTGTTTAAGCTGCTCAATCTATGGTACTCTATTCTGGCAGCCTGAGCAAACTAATACATTACCCTTCAAAGTGAAATTTCTAAAATGTTCAGGAGTCAAGAGGCAGCCTCTGAGGTGTAGACTATTATCACTGTCTGAGGCCTAAAGGCATCTAGGTGTCACCCTGGGAGTCCGCAGTGTCCCTCTGAATGGTACCTTCTGAACGTAGATCTCAATGTACTTCTGCAGGTTGTTGTGGTATAAATACAGGACAAGGTCATGCACAAAGTCAAAGCGGTCACACACAATGATGAGGGGGAGCTGGTCTGTGAGCTTAGCCTCCTGAGGGATAGAGAGAAGAGAATAGGTCAGACAGTGAGGGACCCCACAGAGTCAGCCCTAGCCTGTGCAACAGTGATCCTGCAGGGAATGTACAAGGAGATTTTGCTCTAGATAGGCTGACATTTAAGGCATTTACATTGCGAGAATGTAGTGTTTGTTTTGGGAAATAAGTAGGGGGAAGGTAATAGTATTTGGCTAAAGACAAGAGATCTCTGCTAATTTGACAATAACTTTCCAAATTTATGCAAATCCAAACATCTTTTGGGTTGAGACAAGCAGCTCATTATGTGGAAACCCAACATAGATCAGGCTGCCCACCAGAATAGTTCATTTGCAATTGCTGGATGTGGTGGCGCATGCCTATAATTCCAGTGGCTTGGGAGGCTGAGGCAGGAGGATCGAAAGTTCAAAGCTAGCCTCAGCAACTCAGTGAGATCCTGTCTCTAAATAAAATACAAAAAATAGGGCTGAGGATGTGGCTAAGTGGTCAAGTGCCCTTGATTTCATCCCTAAACACCCCCTCCAAAAAAGAATAGTTCATCTGCAATAAAGTCACAACCCAAGGAAATGCCAGCCTAGTGGGGTGAGGTAGTGGGGGAGCTGTTCACACACTCACACTCAGTTCCTAAACAATAGTTTATCAGGAGAATCAATAGGCCACCATAATCACATTAATCTTTGTTTGGACCCACACCTAGATCACCTTTCCCAGGCTCCCTAGAGTTTCAGGTGAGGTCACATAACCTCATTTCCTTCAAGGGAACATGAACCAAAGTGTTACCTGCGACCTTCAGAACTTAGCCATAAAAGCCACCAATGAAACTACTCTGTATTCTTCCCTTCCACCAATTGGCAGGGAAGGCAATATCCAAGGCAAAGTACTGAAGATGGCAAAACAGTTATATGCCAGTCCTTCAAAGGATGGTGGCATGGAAAGCCATATCACTCAAACTCATGGCTATCCAGGACTGTTGCATGAGAAATAGACTTCTTGTTTTGTTCTTTTATTTATTTTTCAGCACAAGGGATTGAACCCAGAGGTGCTTAACCACTGAAAGACATTCCCAACCTTTTAAATTTTTTGACAGGATATCACTGAGTTGCTTAGGGCCTTGCTAAGTTGATGAAGCTGGCCTCAAATTTGTGATTCTCCTGCCTCAGCTTCTGAGTTGCCGGGATTACAGGTGTTGTCACCAAGCCCAGTTGGCTAATTGTTCTTTATGCCTCTAACACTGACTGGTCTATTTGTTATTGCAGCTTTACCACACATAACCAACAGGGGTGCAGTTGGGATGCTGCTGAAATAAAATGCAGTGATGAATTAACTCCTGCCACCTGCATGATGGATAACTAGAGCTGGACAGCCTCTAGTTTCTTTCTCCTTCAAAGGGTTTTCTTAATGATGAGTGGAGTCCTCTAAGAATATTAGACCATCATAAAGTAGAGATTTGTCACTGGGTGCTAAGGGAATAAAGGCAAGACAAACTCAGCTTAGTACTTCTTAGGACTTCTGGCCAGGTCTATCACCCATGAAAGCAGCTTGTCAGGGAAGGCATGCCTGGACATACCTTTAGGAAATTCTTCACCCGATCTGGGTTATAGTAGCTGCTCTCGCGGCATATTCTCTCCACCTCCTTGATCTGCCCTGTCTTGCAGGCAGCCTGAATGTACTTCAAATGCACATCTGGGTCTTGGCTAAAGTTCACAATTGAGCCCAGGAAGTAGAAGAGGCCTATAAATAGAGACTGTTTCATGTTTACCCTCCTAACATTCATTTGTCTTCTCTTTGGCAGTTGCTCACCTTCTCTTGATCACCCCACCCACAACGACCCTGCTCGACTCTTCAGACCTACTCAGACTTCTTCATCTATGTAAAGTTTGTGTGCCTTGCCATCTCTCTAAAACATCTAGTCAGGCCCCCAGCCTGAACCCAACAAAGCTACCCTTCCTGGAATTCTTTTGGTGAAATTACCACAAAAGGGCAAAGGATGGCAACCAGATAGGCCTCATCTGCAATCAACAAGGTAACACCAAAGTGATGGACCCTCTACTGTGGGCTTTCACTTGGAAGAGGACAAAAGAGTTGCCTTGTCAGGGCTGCTCAGACCAGATACCAGGCCCTTTCACTGGTACCCAGAACCACAATTACAGAATTTCACATGAATTCTGCACTAGGCTATCCTACATGGAGATACAAAGTTCTACAAAGACTTCAAGGATATTAGGGGAATTATAAGTACCCCCATCCCACTGCCAACCAACTTGCTTTTTTTCTTTGAAAATACCAAAAAGGTTACATAAGTTGAGTATACCCCTGAGAGAAAAGTAATATTCTGCTCTTGACTGAACATGTAAGGCAGTCAGAATTGCATCCTGCCTAGCTTTACAGGAAGACTCTTCTATGTTGCATGAGTGAACAGCAACACATAAGACAGGTGTCATCATAAGGCAGGGTCTGCCCAGGGCTGCATGATTTACCTTCATAACTCTTGAAGGATTCAAAAAGCTCTACCAAGGACTGTGTGCCCAGCTGTTCATGGTACTTAGAAGCCACCTGTACACACAGCTGAAGGTTTTGTCTGATGTTAGCAGACAACATGGCATGTAGACACTCCATGGAATCCTCCACCGACAAGGAACCAAAGAAATTGACAAGCCACTGAGAACAAGGAAGAGTTGTAAATGTTACTAAATAACTGGATCATTCCCATCCCCACCCTAAATGTCAAAAGTGTAAAGAATTCTCACTTAATAAGACCAAAAAGCACCTATCTATCATGGTAAAAAGTGGGAGCAAGGAATAAATTTAGGATAAAACCCTGACCTAAACTGTTTATCCTAGTATATCCTACAGTTGATTCTAAAACTATTCTGTAATTGGAACACAGTAGCTCTTTTAGTTTTTACTGATGATTCAGACAGTCTTGCTAGGTTGTCAATGTTAAAATGTTATCATTATTCCTGTTATTAGAATAACTCAAAGGTGAAAGAAAGATGACATGGACCCCAGACATGTTGATGGGCAGGTGAGGATTGTGCGTACAGTAAAGCACGACAGGTTCATGCCTGGTCCCACAAACCACCCACAGGACACATTTGGGAGCATGTGATATGAATGACCATATAGGCACCAGTAACAAGGGGAGTGCCCAGTGGTGCACTGTACCTCAGGATTGAGAAGATGGGTGTGGACTACAGCCCTCTTGATGTCATTGATGTCACTGTAGTGCTCCAGCGCGCGTTGCAGAAGGCCTGCCTTCTCACAAAGCTGGGCAATATGGATTCGATCATAATGTGTAAACATCTGATTTCCAAGGATGGCATCTGCAACCTGTGAAATATCAACTTCAGTAAGAAAACCTGATTGATGGCAGTAAATTTTAAATAGCAGCTGATCAATTGTACCCTCCCCTCCCCCCCAGGGTAGTGTGTAGCTCAGGAACCAGTGCTTATATCCATGCTTCCATGGTAGCTGCAGTGTTAGTGGCTCCCTATCAGAGCTCTAGCTGTCCTTCAAGTCATCTTTTGCTCAAGGCTCTATTTTCCCATGTTGTGAGCCAGGCCTAGTTCTGCAACATGGGAAAATAGAGCCTTGTGCAAAAGATGACTTGAAGGACAGCTAGAGCTCTGATAGGCTGGAGTCAGACATGTAAGAAATACTGAGGCTCCATAAAACACTATTATTGGAATTAGTCCAGGATCCTGTTGCAGTTTTTCAGCAATTATATTTTTTTTATTAGAGCTTTATGGTTATACATAGTAGTTGGGTTCAGCAATTACATTTTTATAGGGTTTTCTATAGCAAGATCAGTGGAAGGGCTCAATTCTACCACACCTTCTTTTAATTCTCAGATGAGTCAGAATTAGATCTGAAAGTAACAAATCCAATTTGTTTACTAGACTTCTCTATTGAATTAAAGGCAGAATTAGGAGTGGAACTTAAAACAATAAATACTCTTAGAGTTATTTTTTATAAAGAGATAAGGTCCTTTATTTCAAGATGTAGATTGGGTGTGGAGTTAGAAGTAATTGGTTAGGTTTGGGAAGTGGTTGAAGGTAAAGATGAGGTCGTTAGAGTTGCATGTGGTTGGGGTGGAGATTAGGTTGGTTATAAGGTATAGGATATAGGATATGGCTAGGGTTATAGTTTGGGAATTAGGGTTGTTGTTAGCACTAGTTGTTATTGGTTAGTGTATATGTTACAGGGTTATAGTATAATGGTTTAGGTTTCATAGTTTAGGTTTGGTGTTGGGATAGGGTCAAGTGATTAGAGGTCAGAGCTAGAGAGAGGGGGATGGAGAGGATGATGTAGATAGGGTTACAGATATGGTTTGGAATAAGTATTAGAGGTTTAAGAGGTGAAGTCCTGTTATGTTTCCCAGGCTGGCCCTGAACTTTTGGGTTTAAGCAACCTTCCTGCCTCAGCCTCCTGAGTAGCTAGTACATGCCACCTAGAAAGAATTTTGATGAGGTTTATGATTTTTAGTACTCTCTAGACTAAAATGGATATGTCAACACAGCAACTTTGTTGCCTTTCTGAGTGATCTTACCAGTGTCTCTAACCAGTAGTTAGTCTTGACAAGTTGTACTCCTGGGTGCCTTCACCTGCAGCTCAGCACACTCTTTTTCATCCCTTCTAGGATGTGGAACACAAACCCAATAGAGGACTAGATGCATGCACAGTGACTACATACAGTCTATACCACACTGCTCAAGGGTTATGCACACTCTGTGTTCCTACAGAATAAAGGATCAAACCAAGTCCTGAGAGGAGAGTTTTTGAATACCTGATACCTGCCTTCCCTCTATCCTTTTTTTTCTTTTATTTTGGCATAACTATCCTCTTGTTTTTCAATATCTCCCCTTTATCAGAGAAACTGTGTTTTAGAGAGCTTAGATAGATAAGCAAAGACAGAAAGCATCACCCAGTGCTCATCATCCAAAGAAGACTGCCTCACTGTTTCAAGCACTGTGGCCCAAGCCTTTAGTACTATGCCTAGTAGTCAGCTCATCCCTTACAGTGTGGGCACTCTTTGGGGTCTGTTTGCTGAGTTTCTGAGTGTTGTTTGGTTTCTATTTACTAAAATTCTTTATGCATAATCACCAAGTCATGAGAGTTCAAATACATCAAATAGTAAATTACCAATTTTATTTCTTTTTTTTCTTTTTTTTTTTTTTAGGGAGGGAGGGAGAGAGAGAGAGAGAGAGAGAGAGAGAGAGAGAGAGAGAGAGAGAGAGAGAGAGTTTTAATTTTTATTTTTTAGTTATTGGCGGGCACAACATCTTTTGTTTTTTTTTGTATGTGGTGCTGAGGATCGAACCTGGGCTGCACGCATGCCAGGCGAGCTTGCTACCGCTTGAGCCACATCCCCAGCCCCCAATTTTATTTCTTAAAGGCGGGATATGATGGATACACTTAGTAGCTGACTTGTGGATTTGGATAAACTAAGGTAATAGAATAAAGCATGTTAATTCCAAATTTCAAAATATTATGTGATTATTGAAGAAAAACAAATCAGAAGACAAATAAGTAATGAACAAAGTGAACTTCTCATACAACCTTGGTCAAACAGGTTTACATTAAATCCTCTATGTCATGTATTTATCTCCAATTTCTGCACTATGCATTTATCTCCAAATTTAACCGAAAATAGCAATACATGTGATTTGATCATATGCCCCCATCTTTCAGATTAAGAAATGATGCCCCAGTCACAGTGAGATACCACTGCACCCATTAAGATGGTGGTTATTTTAAAAATAAATGAATAAAAGGAAAAAAGTGTTGGAAAGGACAGAGAAATTGGAACACTTTTGTGTTGCTGACAGAAATATAAAATGCTGAAGCCTCTTGGAATACAGCTCAGTGGTTCCTCAAGAAATTAAATGCAGAATTACAATATGATCTAGCAATTCCACGTTTAGGAGTATATTCAAAAAGATTGAAAGCCAGGTCTTGAAGAGATACTTGTACATTCATGTTCAAAGCAGTATTATTCATAACAGCCAGAATGTGGAAACAACCCAGTGTCCATCAACAGATGAAAGGATAAATAAAATGTAGTATACATATAATATGGAATATATTATGTAGCCTTAACAATGGAATTTAAATGAATTTACAACACATGATATAACATGGATAAAATATTAAAAAGAAAAAAGACAAAAGGACAAATATTTTATGATTTCATTTGTATGAACTATATAGAATAGGCGATTTCATAGAGATAGAAAGCAGAATGATGGCTGCTAGAGGCAGTTCCCTTTTGGGATGATAAAAATATATACTGATGTTGGTTGCACAATTTTGTGAATGTCCTCTCCTTTTTTTTTTTCAGTACTGGGGACTGAACTTAGCACTGAACTTAGCACATACCCAGCCCTTTTTATTTTCTTTCTTTCTTTCTTTCTTTCTTTCTTTCTTTCTTTCTTTCTTTCTTTCTTTCTTTCGAGAGAGAATTTTTTTAATATTTATTTTTTAGTTTTTGGTGGACATAACATCTTTATTTGTATGTGGTGCTGAGGATGGAACCCAGCGCCGCGCGCATGCCAGGCAAGCGCACTACTGCTTGAGCCACATCCCCAGTCCCAGCCCTTTTTATTTTATTTTGAGACAGGGTTTCACTGATTTGCTCAGGCTGGGTTTGAACTTATGATCCTCCTAACTCAGCCTCCTGAGTAGCTGGGATTATAGACATGTACCACCACATCCAGCTCTATGAATCTCCTTAACATCATTGAATTGCACATTTAAAAACCTAAAATGGTAGATTAGAGTTCTGATTTGTGAGGGGTAAAAATTTGCTCCCAAGATGTGGGCTCTCTGTTCACCTCACAGATTGTTTCTTTTGCCGAGAAGAAACTTTTTAGTTTGATTCCATCCCATTTATTGATTCTTGGTTTTAATTCTTGTGCCACAGGAGTCTTATTAAGGAAGTTGGGGCCTAATCCCACATAATGAAGATTGGGACCTACTTTTTCTTCTATTAGACAGAGTCTCTGGTCTAATTCCTAGGTCCTTGATCCATTTTGAGTTACGTTTTGTGCATGGTGAGAGATAGGGATTTAATTTCATTTTGTTGCACATGGATTTCCAGTTTTCCCAGCATCATTTGTTGAAGATGCTATCTTTTCTCCAGTGCATGTTTTTGGCACCTTTGTCTAATATAAGATAATTGTAATTTTATGGGTTAGTCTCTGTGTCCTCTATTCTGTACCACTGGTCTACCAGTCTGTTTTGGTGCCAATACCATGCTGTTTTTATTACTATTGCTCTGTACTATAGTTTAAGGTCTGGTATACCAATGTCACCTGCTTCACTCTTCCTGCTAAGGATTACTTTAGCTATCCTGGGTCTCTTATTTTTACAGATGAATTTCATGATTGCTTTTACTATTTCTATGAGGAATACCATCGGGATTTTGATCAGAATTCCATTAAATCTGTATAGTGCTTTTGGTAGTATGGTCATTTTGATAACATTAATTCTGCCTATCCAAGAGCAAGGTAGATCTTTCCATCTTCTAAGGTCTTCTTTGATTTCTCTTTTAGGGTTCTGTAGTTTTCATTGTATAGATTTTTCACCTATTTCACTAAGTTGATTCCCAAGTATCTTATTTTTTTTTTTTAGATTACTGTGAATGGGATAGTTTTCCTCATCCTTCTTAGAGGCTTTGTCACTGATATACAGAAATGCCTTTGATCTATGGGTATTGATTTTATATCCTGCTACTTTGCTGAATTCATTTACTAGTTCTAGAAGTTTTCTGGTGGAGTTTTTGGGTCTTCTAGGTATAGAATCATATTATCAGCAAATAATGCTAATTTAAGGTCTTCTTTTTCTATACATAACCCTTTGATTTTTTTCATCTAATTGCTCTGGCCAGTGTTTCAAGAACTATGTTGAATAGAAGTGGTGAAAGAGGACATCCCTGTCTTATTCCAGTTTTCAGAGGGAATGCCTTCAATTTTTCTCCATTTAGAATGATGTTGGCCTGAGGCTTAGCATAGATAGCCTTTACGGTGTTGAGATATGTTCCTGTTATTCCTAGTTTTTCTAGTGTTTTGAACACAAAGGGGTGCTGTATTTTGTCAAATGCTTTTTATGCATCTATTGAGATGATCATATGATTCTTATCTTTAAGTCTACTGATGTGATGAATTACCTTCATTAATTTTTGTATGTTGAATCAACCTTGCATCCCTGGGATGAATCCTACTTGATCATGGTGCACAATCTTTTTGATATGTTTTTGTATTAGATTTGCCAGAATTTTATTGAGAATTTTTGTATCTATGTTCATGAGAGATATTGGTCTGACATTTTCAAAGCTAAGCACAAAAAAACCCAAATAACCCAATTGACAAATGGGCCAAGGACCTGAACAGACACTCTTCAGAAGAAGATATATAATCAATCAACAATATATGAAAAAATGCTCATCATCTCTTGCAATCAGAGAAATGTATATCAAAACTACTCTAAGGGCTCAGAGGTAGAGTGCTTGCCTAGCACCTGTGAGGCCCTGGGTTCGATCCTCAGCACCTCATAAAAAAATAAAATAAAATAAATATATGTGTCCACCTATAAGTAAAAAATAAATATTAAAAAAACTACTCTAAGATATCATCTCACTCCAGTCAGAATGGCAGCTATTATGAAAGCAAACAACAATAAGTGTTGGTGAGGATGTGGGGAAAAAGATACACTCATACATTGCTGGTGGGACTGCAAATTGGTACAGCCAATATGGAAAGCAGTTTGGAGATTCCTTGGAAATCTGGGAATGGAACCACCATTTGACCCAGCTATCCCTCTCCTCGGACTATACCCAAAGGATGTAAAAACAGCATACGACAGGTTCACAGATACATCAATGTTTATAGCAGCACAATTCATAATAGCTAACCGTGGAGCCAACCTAGATGCCCTTTAATGGATGAATGGATAAAAACATGTGACATATATAAACAATGGAATTTTACTCGGCATTAAAAGAGAATAAAATCATGGCATTTGCAGGTAAATGGATGGCGTTGCAGAAGATAATGCTAAGTGAAGTTAGCCAATCTCCAAAAAACAAATGTCAAATGTTTTCTCTGATATAATGAGGCTGACTCATAGTGGGGTAGGGTGGGGGGAGCATGGGAGGATTAGATGAATTCTAGATAGGGAAGACCTGTGAGAGGGAAAGGGAGGGGGCAGGGTATTAGCAAGGGCGGTGAAATGTGATGGACATCAATATCCAAAGTACATGTATAAAGACTTGAATTGGGTGTCAACATACTTTATATATAAACAGATATGAAAAATTGTGGTTTATATGTGTAATAAGAACTGTAATTCATTCCGTTATTGTGTATTTAAAAAAATAAAATCAATAAAACTAAAAAAACCTTAAAAATAGTAAACTTTGTTATGCATATTTTACCACAATGAAAAAGGAAAGAAAGGAAGAAATTATATTCCCAGTTGTAACTGTTTCCTTGAATGTTCTGTACCCTGATTTCCTGAAAAACCTTGGAGGAAAACGATTTTTTGCCTACTGAGAAGCATAAAAATAAACATCTGGAACAAGTATAACCCAGTTCAAAACCTCTGTGCTCAGGTCTGTACATCCAATACAGAGGCACAGCAGGTACCCTGCCCCTTGTTACTAGTCTAGAGATGTCACTTGCCTGGGGTGCATGGATCACATTCATTTCCAACAGCTGGGTCTGGAGGTGCCCCTCAGCTGGGTGATCATTCTTCAAGATGTCCAGCAAGAAGGAAGTACACTGCTGAATTAAACTGTTTTCCATGAAAACGTCCACAATCTGCAAAGATCCAAGCCATGTTTTCACTCAGAGAAGGAACTGTTTAATTTTCCTATTGAAACAGTTTTTGAGATAGAATCTCATTTAAAAATTCAGTGATTAGTCCCTTCCTTTGCATTTTCTTATATTTCTGAAATTCAAATAATTCATATTATTAACCCAAGGGTAATTTTGTGAAATTATATCACCTACATTATACTCAACAACAGGCCATTTTAATAGAGTGGATTAAAGGCAGTTGTCTTTATAATACATGGGAGCCCCCAGAATCTGAAGTGATCCAAATAATGTTAATCAAATTGTAAAGGAATTGGGGCTGGGACTTTAGTCAGTGGTAGAGCACTTGTCTAGCAAGTGAGGCACGGGATTCAATCCTTAGCACCACATAAAAATAAATAAATGAAACAAAAATATTGTGTCCATCCACAACTAAAAAATTTTAAAAAATTGTAAAGGAAGCTAATACCTGGGGTATAGCCCATTCACTATCATTATGTTATTCAGGCACAAGTGGGAAAATGCACATTTACTTAGACACTTATTACAGTTAAACAAATATTAATTTAAAACAATTAATAAAACTTAATAAGAGGTGAAATATAGGTAATAAATTTAGCAACTGTGTAACTTTTTCATACTTAAAAGTATAAGAGGAAATATATATACTTGGATTTTTTTTTTTTTGGTACTAGGGATGAATCCAGAGGCACTTAACCACTATGTAACATCCCCTAGCTTTTTTTTTTTTTTTTGAGACAGGGTATCACTAAGTTGCTTGGCAATCTTCCTGCATCAGCTTCCCAAGTCCTTTGGGATTACAAGCATGCACTGCCATGCCTGGAAAAAGTGTGTGTGTGTGTGTGTGTGTGTGTGTGTATGTGTGTGTATATATATATATATATGTATATATATGTATATATATACATATATATATATAAATATTTTTATAGTAGATGGACACTATATTTTAATTTTATTTTTATGTAGTGCTGAGGATTGAACCCAGGGCCCCACATATGACAGGAAAGGACTCTACCAACTCAGCTACAGCCCCAGCCCAAAAGTTTATATTTTTAAAAAAGTTTTTAAAATATGAAATGTAATCAAGATTTCACCTAGACACTTCTTTCCCATTGAGATCTAAGTAAATTTGGCTCAAACCCCTTATTTCATGATCTCCAAAATATCTGCAGATTCCCAGATGCACAAATCCAATTATAATTGTACATATCATTTCTAGATAGGTTGTTGGTTTTACTGTTCTGCTTTATTACACACTTCTTGAATGTATTTTACTGAAGGTGATTTGAAATGTGTTTATACCTGAATATTAAGTAAGTTATACTAAAACTCAGGGCAATTAGGCACCCAGAATATGCAAGTCAGGTGACTTGTCTGCACTTTCCATTGTACTTGGGTGGGGTTCAGGTTATTTGTCAGAAAGAAATAATCGGGTAGTAATGGAATGGAATAAGGGATGGAGGGCTACCATTCTTAAATAACATCCTCACATCCTATTACTAATCCCAACAAAAGGAAACAAAATCCTCTCAGTTTGACACACAAATCAATAAATATTGTCAATACTTGAATGACAAGTATTCAAATAATAAAGACAAGCTCTCCTAGTGTATTAGATTTTTTTAAAACTAAAAGAATAAGAACAAACCAAGAAAATCACTGAATTGTGATAAAAGAAAGCCAAATGAAAGGGAATCTTCTTGATGGCTACAAAAAGTCCTAAAATATCTCAAACAACCCATGTTCACCTGGTTAATGTTGGCCAATGGCTCCTCATCCTGCACTAGCATTTGGGAAAACTGCAGACCCTGTTCTGGACTGATCCTCATCACACTCCTCAGCAAAGAGATCCAGTCTGGGATATAACCAACCTGTAAGTGAGGGAACACCAATCAGGAAAAGTAAGTAAAAATCTAGGCATTAAAAAAAGAAGTTTATCCTCTAGTTTTTGTTTATAAAAAAATGACTATCAACATTAGCATGTATATGTACCACTCCTTTGCCAAATAAAATGTCCAATTAAGTGAAAACTGATCCCATGTATATGAGATGCAATTAACTAAAAAAACAACATGGACCACAGAGAAATAACCCAGGTTGGTGTGCAGGCACAGCACTAGCAAGTGCTGACAATTTTGACCACATGGGGATAGGATCTGAAACCCCACAAACACTGATTTGACACACAGATGGTACAGGGGGAAGAAGGATGGAGAAGTAGTGAGAGAAAGATAAAAATTATAAGAAAGCTTCTGACTGTAAAATAAGACAGGAAAATAAAAAAGTTAATAATAAAATATTATTAATATTAATGAATGCCAGATGCTAACAGCAGTACTGATAACTGTTGTACACCAGAGCACTCATCCCACATAGAAGGCATTTTATAAATGACACAATTGGCAACCACCCACCTGCACATGGATTATCTGTGCAGTGATGATGAAACATGTATTACCTTTTTGGAATACAGCACAATTTTTTGGAATTGGCCTGTTTCTGCAAAACACTGGATAACTTTGCTTGGTACATTTGCCCGAAGGTACACACTCAGAGCCAGTATAGGGTCAGCAGTTTTGACCAAATCTCCCAGTTCCTCTGAACACTCTAGCTGTACATGCCAAAAGACAAGACAACATTAGGATTGGAGAAGCAGGGCAGCTGCAACCCATTTTTCAAACTATTTTGGGGTTGTGATTTCACCTTATCTTCTTTCAGCCACTTCTCTAAGAGTTGCTTGCGCCCCTGCTGAAGAACTGGCCGGCAAAGCTCTAAAGATTCAAGTTTATTGAGCTGACCCTGGTCAAGCAGGATTCCAAAGTACTGGAGCAAAGGAGAGGCTTGGCCAGGCTGGGCAGGTATACTTTGGAACTTCTGGACTGTATCACTGGTACGTAGAATTCCCTGATAACAAAATATAGCTTACTTGTAATCACAGGGCATCCCTTCACTCAATTTGCTCATACAAAACAAATTTTTGCCAATGGAATTCTACAGTGACTTGACATGGACAAAAATTCCTCTACTAAAGTTACTGCTTCTACCTCCATCAATAACTAAGTAGAGTGGGTCTAAGTCCTAGGGCAACGTCACATTTTGGATCTTACTTGTACCCTACCAGGCTACAGTGAGAATTAGGCCTCTAACTTGGTCTTGAAGTTCTACACTCACTCAAATTTAAAAAACTTTCAGTCCCATTAGAAATGGTTTGTTTAGGAGCTGGAATTGTGGCTCAGTGGTAGAGTACTTGCCTAGCACATGTGAGTCCTGGGTTTGATCCTCAGCACCACATAAAAATAAATAAATAAAATAAAGGTATTAAAAAATAAAATGGTTTCTTCAAATCCACTTGGAAGACAGGAAGAAATCCTTAGAGGAGAAGTAACTTGAAAACCTTTATTTACTCAGAATTAAATCCAGTCCCAGGACAATGTATCCTAAGGAAATAAACCAAACTATTATTCTCTAGAAGAGTGAAGAAAGTCCAGAATAGGACTGTCACTAAATAAAATAGGTATAGTTACCCTATTTTTTATAATTTTATATTTAATGATTAGGTAGTATCAGTGAAAAATTCAAGTCACCAAAATACAAAACTGTACCTGAGCTAAGATTCTGGGTAAGAAATATTTATGAACACAGCAATAACAGAAAAACAATAAAGAATAAAATGGTGGAGCAAAATTTTGTCTGTTTCCATTATTGCTATGCCATTAGTAAAACATTTAAAATAATCAAAAAGCACACTAACGTAACACTAATATATTCCGATAGTGTAGTGAAATGCTTTCATGTTTTATTTTACCCTCAAGGTTGGGTCCTAAAACTTCAGAATGGCATACAGTGTTCAAGTTTCATTACCTTTGGTGCAGATGCTGCTACTTTGGCGGCTTCAGCATAGTTCCCCTGTGCAAAGGAGGTACTGAATTTTCTCACAAATAACTCCTCTGCCCCTGGCAGGTTACTACGAACAGCCAAACGCAGACCCAGGTCTGGATTCTGAAGCACATTGATTGCATAATTCACAATGTTTTCTTCCTCAACACAAACTGACAGCACCTATAAGAACCCACCAAGTGAGACCAGTTCCCCTGGAGAAATGCCCCATACACACAGTCTGTCACATTCCCTCATGACACTGTAATGTTTGCCAAATTCCCAGACTCAGGTTGAGCATGCTTGTGATCTTGGTCCTAACATAAAAAGATGCAAAGGAGCCAGGTTCTTAATGGTAACAAAGTAGAATCACCCAGCAAAGTGATAGCATGGGATTCTATGCAGCTGTTCAAAATACTATGAAAATGTAAAGTCATACAGGCACTGATCATAATGATGTGTTCAGATCTAGGCCAAAATGACTTGCTTGATTTTCACTGATGAGTACTCCTTACAATTTTTCTTTTAAGGTAATTTTTTAAAAATTGATTTCTTCTCTTTTTAACTTTGGTTCAGAAAGGTTAACTTCAACAGCATAGTATCTGCTTTTTCAACCTTCTCCAACTAACAGGTGCTTGGTATAAAGATGTATGCGGTGCATATTAGAACTTCTGCTCCACTGGCAGATGCTTCACACAGGAAGCAGTGGCTCTCCTCTCAGAATCAATGTTGTGTTAGGAATGGTGCTGGCTGAAGAGAGGAAATGATGATGTGAAGGAGAAGGCAGACATGGGTATAAGTTTAATAACAGGAGTTAACTACACCTGATCACAAAGCTCTAGTCCTTACTGAAGGGAAAAGGTGGGAAATTAAACCTCAGAGTTACATACCTGTCCTTTTTTGTTGACCACAATAATCCCAGAGGTTAGTTCATGTGGAACAGTTACAAAGATTGTGTCAGCGCTAATACGGTTCATGTAGATGCACACAGCAGACTCTAAATCATACATATGTAGGTAGCCGTAGTTTGTGATCAAATATATAACACCATGTTTGGCTCCAATCTGTAAGAAGGCAGAGTATGATGGGTTGGAAAAAGACAAAGCCACATAAGAAAAAAAGAGCTCACGAATGATAAATGGGATCCCAGAGACTCCATGGCTGAGATCATCAATGGGAGTAATGAAACTCTGAGAAATGGATTTCAAGTTCTTCTCCATGAGACCTAGGTTTATTTTGCCCAATCATTCTCAAACAAAGGTCACAGAAAATCAGCCTATTCCATATATATTTCAGGTAGAGACATTCTTTCCCCAGTTTCTTTCCAAACCCCATTAAGCTTCAAGTTCATAAAAGAAGGGGAAAATTCTGGATAAAGACCCCTAATACTGACTTCACTTTCCAATCTGCCTTCCATTTCCACTTACTAACCTTTGCCAAATGCCATCAATAACACACAGGAGGAGAGATCCAACATGGCAGCGGGCGTGGAGAGATCAAGTCTCTGACCTCTTCAGCTGCGCGGGCATAGGGAGTCGTAAACCGTCTAAATGCTTTTTGCTCAGGATCACTAGGCAATGCTGAGCTGACGTGGATCTGGGGCGAACAGTCTGGGCCTCTCAGAACACACACTGAGCCTGGATCGGCTGAATTCAAGCTTCCGTTCGCCTGCGTCTCGCAGACAAACCCCTGTGACTCAGCACTAAACGATCCCGCTGAAACAACTGGTCAGCCCTTCTGAACCTGCGGAGGTTAATTCCAACCGAG